AGTAGATGCAATCCTGGGGTCCTGGGGTCCCTCCCTGGGGTCAGTGCTGATTTTATTGCCATTGGTGATGCCAGGGATAGACCCAGGCCCGGGCTCTGTGTGGTGGGCGGGGGGTCAGTGCTGGTAGAGCCACGTTCCAATGCCCAGCTCGGCTCATCCCGGTGTGTTCCCTCACCACGGGCAGGGCCATGTGCTCCAAGTCAGAGCATGATGCAGGTGCCACCTCAGGGAGCAGAACAGTTCCCAGTCCACAAATACCTGGAAACAGCAGCTTGCCCTGCTGGGAATCTTGCTCAGGGCCCTGCTGGGGAAGATGGAGAGCCAGGAGCTCGGCCATGCCTCGGTTTCCCCCTCAGTGAAATCATCCCATTCCACTTGAGTCCTGTGTGACAGAGCACGAGGCGGGAGCTGGGAATCCCTGGATCCAGCACTGTGGCTCCCATCCTGCAGAATAAGTGCCTGAATTGTTCATCCTCGGCTAATCCCCAATAAATGGCTTTGCTCAGTTTGCTGGTGGTGCTCGGAGGGATTTAACCACTGAGAGCTGCTGACACATGTGGGGCATCTCCAAGAGGGAGACACGTTCTGAGTCCTGACCCTACGAAGGTGTAAACTCATGTGTGCCTCGAGCAGCACAGGAGCAACACACTTGATGCTGCACTCACACTCAGGGATGTGGTGCCCATGGTGATGGAAGGACCAGCTCCCACCAGCACCAACAGTGACAGAATCATGGAATGGTTTGGGTTGGGAGAGACCAGGTTGCTCCAAGCCTTGTCCAATGTGTCCTTGGACACTTCCAGGGATGGGGCAGCCACAGCTTCTCTGGGCAACCTGTGCCAGGGCCTCACCACCCTCACAGGGAGGAATTTCTTCCTAATATTTAATCTAAACCTACTCACTATCAGTTTGGAGCCGTTGAAGGGGACCCTCGAGGCACCACAGATGCTCCTGCTGGAATCCTGGTGAGCAACTGCAAAGGGGAGACTGGAGCTGAGTTGGGGTGGGTGCTCCAGGACCCAGGTGCTGGTGTGGGGTTTGCTGTCCCAGCTCCTTAATGAGGTGCTCAAAAAGAAGTGGGGGCACAACCTGGTATTGAGGAGGGGCCCCCCCTACCCGGAGAGAGCCCCCCCCAGGCTGAGCCAGATGGGATGGTTTGGCTCAAACCCACCAGGCTGATTCCCCAGTGTCCCCCAGATGTCAGGAAAATCACGTTTAGATTATTTTACAAATAAAAACTTCCTGACCCAGTCCGGGGAGGGTTCACAGTGATGTCAGGGCTCCGATGGAGAAGCCATCTGCCCCAGCCCCACAGGGCAGACAGTTCCTGGGAATCTCATTAACACCGTGACACTCAGGTGCACACCTGCCCCGTGCCAGGCTGTGTCGGGCACCAAGGGGTGGGTGGGCTCAGCTTCCCCTTCAGCATGAACCAAAAAGGAGGAAAAGAGAGAGAAGGGCACTGGGGGGTGCAAGGGAGCCCCTGTCCCTCCCTGTGGGGCCATGTGGACAAACAGGTGAAATGAAGATGGAGGCGGCTTCTTCAGCCTGTTCCAGTTCCCTGCCCGGTCTCTCCTGTTCTGACAGAGTCCATCTTCTTTGGCAGCACCAGGAGCACACAGCAACCCCCCTGAGCAGCTGGTGTTGGACCTTTCTTAGGAAACTCCGAGCATGTTCTTGGAGGGACTGTGGCAAAAACCAACTCTGGTACCTCTCCGAGCTGGTTGGTGACACATCACACTCAAATGCACAAGGGATTATAACCCGCATTTATTTTTCCTCTCTCCGTGTCACCGGAGGCTTCCCGAGGCGCTGAGGATGTGGCAGCTCCCAGTGACCCCGTGTTCCCCTCCCTGGGCAGCTATGCTGCCCTGCAGCTCCTCCCTCCTGGTCCCTCCCCGCAGCCACCACACCCACCGTGGGCATTTGGGGGAGCAGGGAGAGCGTGTCCCCTGTGCTGGGGACACGGAGGGGCTGAGGCTGAAACTGTTCCTTGGTGCAGCTGCTGCCCTTGGCCACCACTGCCCTTGGCCACCACTGCCCTTGGCCACCATGCCCTTGCCCATCACTGCCCCAGCCATCGCTGCCCCAAGCCCTCCCTGGCCCGGCCATCGCTGCCCCATCCCTGCGCTCTGTCCCTGGCCCGGCCCGGCCGGGAGCGCTGGCGTGACGCCACGCTGGTAATTAAGAAGGAACCTAATGAAACTTCGAAAATAGCACAATTTCCTCCCCACACCTGCAGCCGAGCGGGGTGGATTACATAAGTTATTGTTGCCACAGCAACTTCACTCCACCCGGGGCTGGAGGTGGCCGGTGCCGCGTGTGCCGATGCGCCGTCACCCCGGGGAGGGATTGCTCCCGGGATGGGGAGGTATCGCTCCCGGGATGGGGAGGGATCGCTCCCGGGATGGGGACGGTGCCAGCCCCGGGGCTGCCGCCAGTTCGTCCCACTGCTGTTGGCAGTCTGGCGTGGTGGTTTCCCACGTTGCACCCACGGGGTTTTGCCCCCGCGGCGGACGGTCCCACCTTCCGAAAGGGCACGTGGAGAAGGCCGGGAGGAGCCGCAGGGATTTGGGTAACCCTCGAGGGACTCTGGCACCATGGTTACCCTGGGCATGCTCCAGCTGCCGCCGAGCCCCGGGGAGTGAATCACCCTGACAAAGAGGCAGCAACCAGGAAAAAAAAATAAAAGGCAATCAAAGCAAATGTTACGGCACGAGGCAACGGCAGGTTTTTCCTGCTGAGAATTCCCAGGGTGCTCTGGGAGGCTGCGGGGTGGTAGAGCTGCCTTGGGGCCCGGCACAGCCCCCTGGTCTTGGCAGCACGGGCAGCCCCGGGGGCCAGTGCCAGTCAAGAGGTGGTGACACAGGGAAAGCCGGGGACAAGGATAATTTGCTCAGTGTGGCTCTGAGTGTGGGGATCCGAACCCCCTGGCTGCTTCCAGCTGCGGAGCCACTCTGGAAGCAGTGGGGTACGAGGGAGAAAGGTTTTCAGCACTCAGATCTCCTGGGGATAAGGAGAAGCAGAGGATGGGAAGAAAGTGGAGCGGCTGTCTGTGAACAGGCCTAGATGCGAGAGATTCTCTGAGGGTCGTCCCAAAAGGCCTCTTTTATTATCAGAAATTACAAATCCTTTTATCTTCCTCACCAGAGGAACAGCTTGTTTGAATTGCTGGGCTGTCACACTGGAATTAGATGCAAGAACCCCCCACATCCATGACGTAGCGAAGGACTTACATAACATAACTAAAAATAAGGTGATGGAGAAACAGGGAGAGGCTCTCTCCTCCCGGACTCTGGATCCAGAATCCTTGGCCGACACTGGGAATCCAGTGGGGTGCTGGTGGCTGAGGCAGTGGCATCCCAATAGAGCCAACCACAGTCCAGCTGCTCAGGGTGGAGCAGGTGGGAGGGACAGGGGCACCACTAGGTCCTGGCAGCGATGCAGGCAGCCAGGTATCCCCCTGGGAATGTGTCCCTGGACAGTCCCGTTCCCAATCCCCCAGTCCCATGGCTGCTCCCACTCCTCAGCCCCAGGGGGAAAGGGTTAACCAGGCACTCCAGAAACATGAGAAAAACCCTTCTCAGGGATTGTAAATTCCTTCCTGTGCTTTGGAGTGTGGAACCTCTGAGAGGGAAGAAGCCAGAATGGGACCCAAATGTGACCCAGAGTGAGCAGCTGCTGTCGGTGCCCCCCCTGTTCCTCAGCAGGGCTGGGAGGGGGAGCGGGAAGGGGAATTGCAACGGGAGGTTTGGGGCAAAGGTATCGACCTTGTTCTCGGAATTGATGGAGACAATGGAAAATAACATGCTCAGCTGCTTGACTGTTTCACCACTTTTCACAGCAGACAGGAGGGGGAGGAGGGAGAAGAAGGCTTGGCCCAAGGGCTAGGGCAAGGCAGCCAGGGGTAGTTTGTGCCCAGTGCCCCCAGATGTGCCCCCTCTGAACGGCCACAGGCCCATGGGGGACAGCCCGACCATGAGGCTCCGTTTCCCCATGGATCACCCTGCGGACAGCGACGGTCCCGGTGGGAAGGGCTCTCAGGCAGGGGAACAGGGATTGGGGCGCTGGCTCCAGGCCATGGTCCAACTCCTTGTGTCCCTCGGGATCTGGGCAAAAGTTGCTGCTGCTGGTCTGAGGGATGGGAAAGACAAGGATCCATGGCTTCACTGTCCCACAGGGGCTTAACAGCCCGGAGTGCTGGCAGGAGCCTCCCAAGGGAATCCCAGTTCTCCTGGCTGGCCGGGTGGTGGGACAGCCTGGGGACAGCAAGGTGGCAGGCAGGGGCTGCCTCTTCTCCTGCCTGGGGTGGTCAGCCTTGGGTGTCCCAAGCCACATCGTGGTGATTGCACATCCCATCTCTGCTCTCCCGGCCCTCCTGGACCCTGTTCCAAACACCCCACAAACCACCAGCTCCTCTTCCCTTTCCAGTTGCTCCTCACCCATCCACACCCCACTGAGCAGTTCAGGATGGAGCACAGCCCCAGGCACGTGGGGTACAGCGAGGGGGGATCGCAGCAGGGGCTGGAGTGTGGGACAGCTTAGGGATGTGGGGCACAGCAAGAGTTATGGGATAGGGTAAATTAGGGGGATAGTGTGGGGTATCATGGGCTATGGGGTGGGGTGTGGCAGGGGTATAGGGTAGGTTGTAGGGTGTAGCAGGGGATGTGGGCTGGGGAATGGGTTGGGGCATGGGGAATGGAGCATGGGATGGGATACGGGACGGGGAACGGAATGGAGAATGGAGTATGGGATGGGGCCCGGGGGACACAGGGGTTGAGGGCACAGCCCGGTGCACCCCTCCTGTCCCCCAGCCCCGCACCGCTGGGACGCGGAGCGGGGGCCGGCCCGGCCCGGTGCGGCTCCTCCTGCGGGGCGGTGCGGGGCGGTGCGGGGCGGTGCGGGGCGGACCGGGGAGGGCGCGGCCGCCGGCAGCTCATAAAAAGCGCCGCGGCCGCCGCTCGGCGCTTTCCCCTCGCCCGCGCCCGGCCCCGAGCGCCGCCCGTCCCGCAGCGCCCCGCACCCCGCCCGCCGCCCATGGTGCTGCCCGGCCCGCCCGGCATGGCCCGCTCCGAGGAGGTGCATCGCCTCACCGAGAATGTCTACAAGGTGAGTCCGCAACAGGTGCCCGGCGCCGCGTCTCGGGGTTCTGCTGCAATCTGAGTTATTTCAGTTGTTTAATCTCCCCCCTCCATCGCTCCCTCCCCGGGCGCGGGGCGCGGGCGGGGCCGCCCCCGGGATGTGCCCGGAGCCGGCGGGGCGGCAGCGGCTGCCAGGGCTGGACCGGGACGGGGGGCGAGGGGCACCCCCGGAACCCCACCCGGCTACCCCCGACCCTTCCCCGGGCACCCCCCGGGAGGATCCGCGGGGACCGGGAGTGTCCGATCCCACGGTGGGCAGCGCTGTCCCCGCATCACCCCGTGCGGGGACAGCCCCTCGTGCCCGTCGCCCGCTGCTCTGCCACAACCATGAGCCGCAAGAGCTTTCCCCGTCTCTTGGAGTTCGGTAATATCTCTGTTTTTCCCTTCTGCTTTGCTCCCGGTGTTCTGAGAAAAATCCAATAATTTATGTGGCTTAATTTCCCCCCGAAGGAAGCAGTTTCTGCTCCGCTGGGTCTTGAGACCGAGACTAATAAAACTGCTGTAGCCTAACGTGTAACGCAGGATGTCGTTTGTTAAACTGGGAAGCTTGCACGATTTCCTGTGATTTAAGGGGCTGGATTGAGTTACCTGGGAGCCCAAAGCAGGAAAAAAAAAAAAAAGAGATAGAAGAATGTAGTACAAAAAACACCGAGGCGGTGAAGTTCTGAAGTCTTGGTTTTGGGGATCCTGGTGTGTAACAGCTGTTCGGGCAGGGCTGTGGTACCCAAAATCTTGGCCACACTGAGTCTTGGTGACTGTTGTCTCAGGTCTCTGGGGCTCCCTCCCACCCTCTGTGTGCAGCTGATGTACCCCAGCTTGGCCCCGTGCAGGCTGCCCTTGGTTTGGGCAGAGCTGGCACTGCGGGGTGTTCCCGGGTCAGGCCCCGGCACGATCCGTCCCCTCCCGGGTGTTTGTGCTCGGCCCCGGGGCCGCCTGGGCAAACAGGGCGAGAGCTGCTGGGGACGGTGGCTGGGAACAGCTTCAGCGCGTGACTCAGGTGTTGTTGGAGCTGTGTTGCCCTCGAAGAACGGGGCTAATGACAGGCTTGGGGAGCAGGTCACCATCTCCCCGGGCACAGCCCTGTCAGGAGCGCACGGCGTGCTTTGTGCCATCCCAACAACTGTGCTTGAGAGAAGCTTGTCCCCCCGTGAGGGGTGAAGGGCAAGTGCTGCCAAGGCTCTTCTCTTGCCTCATCTCTCCTGTGCCGTGTGAGCTGTGGGTCAGAGCCAGAGCAGAGCCCTGGGCCCGGAGCGAACGACACCCGGCTGAGCTGAGGGCAGAGGGTGCACGGGGGGCCTTGGCCCTGAGGGCCAGAGGTGCGCTCAGGAGGAGTCTGAAGATCTCCATCAGTTCATGAACACCTCAGTTTCTCAGGGTTTCAGTGGGAGCAGCCAGGTGTAGGGCATGAGAACATGGAGCTGGTAGAGATCCCATGCTTTTACCCAAAATCAGTGTCTCAGCGCTGGGAGGTGTAGGAGGGTGGTCCTGACTCCGTTTGTGTTCCCTGCAGTGAACAAGGAGTCATCTCTGAAGCCAACAATGCTTTTCTTGGCCTCTAGAGATGTGTGGCATGTGGTGCATGCAGGAACCTGTTGTCTTCCTGTGTCATGGAGGACTTTGGCCACCCCGGAGCCCAGCATGAGGGCTGGTGGCTCAGGGACTGTGGGGTCTCTCTGTATCTCCTCAAGCTTTGGAGTCTTCGAGTCCAAAACCAGCCCTGGTGCTTCACATCCCCATTAGCCCAGTGGTTTTTTTGCCCTGTGCTTTCCTGGCCTGTGCAGGAGCCTGAACACCACAGTGGGCAGGTGGAGAGGACCCTGAGAAGGGAGGTGATGCCACCAAACCCGGAGGGGCCTCAATCCGTAGCCACCATCTCGCCGGGGTTTTGGCAGCAGCAGGACCAGGGGTTGAGTGTGTTCCCCACGAGGTCTGGAGCAGGAGCCAGGAGCAGGCAGCTCCCTGCCACGCTCCCCATGCCAGGCACCCTCTCCCGCGCAGGCTTTCCCGAGGCGTTCTGCTCGGGAAGCCCATTGTCATCCTTCTCCAGAACCAGCTCTCACCCTCGGAGTGACTGTGCTAATGAGATGGTGGAGGAGCTGTCAGCCGCCCCCGAGCCGATGCTGCCACTACAGGCAGCTGCCTACACACGGGGAGTAATTACAGAGGGAGACGGAGGCTGCTGGCACCTTCCGCCAACGTAATCCCACCTTCCCTGGCGCTGATTCACTCCCAGGACCCCGGCGTAGCCGCAGCTGCCGGGCTGGGCTCTGCTGTGAGCCCCGGGGGGTGAGCCCCAGGGCTGGGGGTGCAGCGTTGGGTGGTGGTGAAGGGCAGCTCCCCATCCCCTGCTCGTCCCTTGCTCCAGATTGTCTGTTTGCAGAAAGCAGGGACTGGCAATTCTTCCTTCCCCCCCTGAAGACAGATCTGTCTCCTCCTGCCAGATGAGATTACTGCCGTTTACAGCCCAACCTCCATTTCATTTTAAAGCCATTTTTGCGTGCGGAAGATCGTTCTGCAATGGTGTACGAGTAGCTCTGTGCTTGAAGAGGTGTTTGCTTAACAACACCCCAAAGTCGAAGCCGAATTGTCTGGCACAGACATGGACAGAATCCCTGATGGTCTGTTGCTCCCCATCAGCTGTAATTGATATTACTGTGGTATCACAGCCTCTGCCTCCTTATCTCCAGGCCCAGAGGGACGGGAGCGATTCTTCCTCAAGTGATTCAGGAGGGAAATTGTGGGTGGTTTGGTGTGTTTGGCAGCAGAGGGATGATGTGGTGTGGCAGAGGAGGAAGAAGCCAGCCCGTGCTACCCTGAATTCCGTGCCCCGTGCTCCCTGCTGTCTCTGCTCCCTGCCTTGGGGCTTCCTGCACCCCAGTTGTGGGAAATCTGTTGGCTGGACCTCGGGGCTCTGAGCTGCCTGGTGCATCCCGTGGTTGGTGTCACCGCTCTGAGGGATGGGAGCACCCCATGGGCAGTGGGTGCCATGTGCTGGTGCCGCAGGGAGCGGGTCAAGCACTGGGAAATTCCTTCCCCAGCAGTAGCTGGAGGGTGGCAGGTGAAGGCTGGGCTCTCACTCTGTGGTGAGCAGGGCCTGGGGCTGTGGTGTTTTTACAGGGCAACACCTTTTTGCCAGAGTTACACCTTCACAGGGGTGTTGGCTCTGCAGCCGGGTCTGTTTGGAGCGAGGGTCCGCAGTGGGCTCGGCTCCGGTGCTACCGTGTGGCTCTTGAGGTGGGAATGCTGCTCCATCCCCTCTGCCTGCGGACTGGGAGAGCATTCCTGACCTCTGCTGACATGGGACACCTCCACACTGTGAAGCTCGAGGATTGCAAGGTGTTATAAAGCAGGTAGCTCCTGCCTTGCTGGAGATACCCCAAAGCTCTTCCTGTGCTGCCTGCAGATCCTGCAGGAGATGGATGCTGCTCCCTGGGATGGAGGCAGCCCCTGGCTTTGCCTTCAGTGCTTTGTTGTGCAGAGTCTGCTCATGGCTAAGGTTTCACTGGTGCTGCTCGTGTTGCAGGGCAGGGCAGAGCACAGGGCAAGCAGCTCCTGCACTGAGCAGCTCCTACTGGAGCCTTTGGCTGAGTTGAGCCCCTCGGTGCCGGGGCTGTGGGGCCCTCCTGGCTCTGCAGCAGAGATCCCAGCCCCAAGGGCTTGTGGATGGCTCTGCCTTGCAGGGGTGACCACTGGTGAGCACTGAGAAGGTGCTCTGAGTACTGTGCAGATCCCCATCCCAGTTCCCTTCAAGCCCAGACCCTGATTACAGAGACATTCAGAGCTCTTGCCCTGGAACTTGGGTCCCCTCATCCTCTGACACGACAGCTAAGAGAAACTAAATGCCTTTAGATGAGGAACACTGTTTTTTTTCCCCTGATTTTCCCTGTCTACCTGGGCTCCTTCTTGACAGAAACTTGGCTCCTAAAATCCCTGGGGCTGCTCCTGATGGCACCAGGCAGGACAAGCTGTGATGGAGGAGGCAGCGCTGGGCTTTGCTGGTCATTAAATATTGATACTGAAATGATGGTGTTCCTGGAGCAGGGCTGACCCATTTAGAGGCAAAAGTTCCTTAGAGCTGAGCTGCTTCTGCAGTGTGACTGTGGTGTAGTGGAGAGTCCCACTGTACTGCCCCTCCAACCTGCTTGTCATGGTCACCCAATGTCCTGCTGCCACCATGAATCACCCAGGAAAGTCCTGAGTGCCAGGCTGAGCCCAGGCCACTGTGCAGTGTCAGCCATAAAATCATTAAAAAGGTTGGAAAATCCCTCTGAGACCATCAGGTCCAACCACTCCTCCAGCACTGCCAAGGCCACCACTAACCCGTGTCCCCATGTGCCACGTCCACATGTCCTTTGAGCACTTCCAGGGATGTGTTCAAAACATTGCACCCTACTGCTGCGTAGGGGCCTCAAAAATGGCATTAGGAAACCAGTGAAGGTGTTTTTAGCTCAAAGTCCATCCGTTGTGGTCACTGAGGTGTTGAGACGTGCTCCTGTGGAGGGTGGTTGGGAGCAGAGCCTGGGGCATGGCACACGCGGGGATGCTCGTCTCTTGGCCGAACCCAGGAGCCTCCTCGCCCTGATCCCGGTTGTCCAGCCCTTTGCAGTGTGGAGGAGGGCTGGGATGTGAGGTCTGGCTTTAGTGGCAGTGCTGTACTTGGGGCAGGGTGGGCACTGCTGGCACAGTCAGCTGGTCCTGCCCTGGCCAGGGCTGCTGACCTGGGTGCCCACAGACCATGGCCACTGACCACCTCCTGCCCTGGCCGAGCCAAGCAGCACCTGCTTTTCATTTCTCTCTCTATTTGGTTTTAGGAGCTGCCTGAGAGGCTGCAGGGATGGACGTGGGAGAGCTGTGTAACCTTAAATTTTATTAAAAGTTGTTCAGGTATTGTGCAGGACTTTCCTGCGCAGGAGAAACCTGAGCTGGCTCCATTTCCAGCTTGGGGAGAACTTAAACTTAGGATTTAGGAGTTGGACTTTGATTCTTGTGGGTTCCTTCCAACTCAGGATACTTTATTCTGTTTGTGATTCTCAACTTTTCCTGATGGGCTGACCCTTGCAGGATTGGGGCATCCTGGCTGCAGTGGGGAGGGTGCTCAGAGGGGAGAGTGGGGACCTTGTTTTCTGTCGCCTCTCCCCCCCCCTCCCTGAACTGAGCAGGGTCGTGTCCTGGAGACCTTGTGCTTTGCATTAGTTTCATTTTTGGCAGCTGAATAAAGCTGTGCCAGTCCCGGAGAGCTGAGTGGTATTACCCAGGGAATTCAGCGCAGTGGAACAAAGCAAAGCCCTTTCAACCCTTGGCTGCCAGGTTTTGTGTCTGTGTTTTTCTGAACTCTGCCCAGGCAGCCCGTGGAAGACAAACAACTTGTGGGTGCTGCTGAGGGGGCAAAATCTGGGGGAGAGTGAGATTTGCTTTCATTACCACACTGCTGCTGAATATTGGCTTTGCTGTGGTGTCCTGCAAACCTGGACCCCCCTCTCCTGTGGGGGGGACAACCCTGTCACTTGTCCCCACAGGGGTGGGGGGATGCACCCCTGGTGTCACTGGAGCAGCTCCAGCACATCACTGTGCAGGGAGTGATGCTGTTGAGTCATTCCATGCCATAAATCTGTTTATTTTCCACTATTTCACCTTGGCAGATCTCAGCCTGTCACCTAGAGGGGGGTGCAAAGGTGTGTTGGCTCCGGAGTCACCTTCCCTTCCCACCCTGGGAGTGAGAGGAAGGCTTGGAAAAGGCTATTTTTATCTCAGGAGTGAGGAGCCCTTTTCACCGCCCTCATCCTGCCGGGCTGTTTTTGTTGGAGGCTCGAGACAATGTTTTAAAAACATTCACTTTCAGGAAACTTCCTCCTGAGGGTTGGTAGATTGTATTTGGCCGGCAAAGAGTCACCTCCCCCCACTTTAGCTGGTCCGTGAGACCTTTTGGGGGGCTTTTATCTCTTTATTTATAGGTTTAAAATGGCTGTTATGGGTCAGTGGGGAGCAGGTCCTGCCCTGAGCAGTGCCAGGACTGGGTTGTGCCTTGATCCCCTCTGGTTTAGGGAAGATGTGCTGAATTTTGGTTGGTGCTTTGTCTGTGGATCCCGTTCCATCATTTATTCCCTCAGTTTCATGCTCAGGACAACGTGTTTACACAGCACTGCTGAGAAAATCACATTATTTACATATCCCTGTGTACATACCCGTACACAAACACTCCGCCGAACCTGCAAACTGCCGAAAAATCGCCTCCCCACAGAAATTCTGCCAGGGTTTCTGCTGCTTAAATATTATTCAGTCTCAGAGTGCTCAGGCTGAGCTGTGTGGTTGAGGCCGTGCATCTGCCGGAGGTGAGGATGTGTCTGTGTCCCCACCCCTGCCGTGGGAAGGGGGGAATTGTCCCTGGGCAGTGATCCCACACCTTCAACCCCTTTGTGGGGTAACAGGAGTAGATTTTTGACCAAAGCTAAAGGCGACGTGGGCAGGATGGAGCAATCCTCGTCAGTGTTAATTAACTCGCATGCAATTGTCTCCTACACCTCGGAGAACACCTCCTTCCGTGGCTTGTTGCTACAGGTTAATTTTCTCCCTTCAAGCTGAGCACGCTCACCAGACTGCTCTGTGCTGCCCCAAAACAGTTTCCAGGGGATCCGGGTCATCGGCAGCATTAATTAGCAGGGCAGCTCCTCGTTAGCCTCCTGCAATCATCGCCGGTGCTTGGCAGGTTGTGGATGGTGCTGGGGGATGGACCGGGAGCTGCGGGGGTTGGGGGAGGCTTTTGGGGGCATCCTCCCCTGCTGCTCCCACTGCTGCTCCTGGGAGGATTAACTGGATTTGCCCTGGAATGCCAGCACGGGGGTGATGCCACCCCTCCGAGCTGGTGCCCCACACAGGCTCCTGCCCGTCGAAGCCCCGAAATGGCAGGTTTTGAGCCGAGGAGGCACCGGCCGAGCCCCGCACACGTGCCCGCGGGAGAAAATTAAACTGTCAGACGGCGAGGGCCGGGCAGCAGGAACTGGGGATAAAAATGCCTCAGGCAGAAAATGAGCTTTATAGTGTTGGCCAGCCTCGGATGAGGTGACAGATGCTTAATCAGCTTATTTGCTGTAAGTGTCTGCCTGTCGTCTTCCCTCCCCTTCCCGGGGTGGGGACGCTGCCAGCAGTGTGCCGGGGGTGCAGAGCCCCCTCCTCCCGGGGGGATGCCCGTGGATCCCTGCTGGGGGATGGGTGGGCATTGAACTCCGTGTTCTGGTGGCACCCTTGGCGGGAGGGTGTCCCTGAGGTGGGGCAGGGGATCGGGGCTGGCTCTGGGGCTGCAGCCAGGCTGGATCCAGAAGGGAGGCTGTGCCTCTGCCAGGGCTGGGCTGGGATCAGGTTTGGCGATGCTGTCGGTGCCAGGGTGAGCGGCCCTGGCAGGGAGGGTCGTGGCTCTAGTGCCAAGTGCACAAAGAGCCCTTCTTCTCCCTGATCCGATTATTCCTTCCCCCATCTTAAATAAGGCCCTTGGAGCGAGGGAGGAAAAGCTCAGACAGCGCTGCTGGTGTTCACCCCCACCCAAAATCAGGCCCTTACAGGCAGGTGTCACCTGTCTGTAGTGACACCAAGTGCTCTGAGACCCAGGTGTAATTCCTGGCACGTGCCTTGGGTCGAGGCTGGCACGGCTCAGGGGGATGCTGGTGACTTCAGCCTGCCTCATTCCTGGGTGGATGTTTGGAATGCTGTTCTTCAGCCCTTCCTGCTTGTCCTGGATGGACAGAGCTGATGCTGCTCCCTGTGGCCATCCCGGGAGTGGGACATCACCTGCCATCATCTCCCAGAGCTCGGGTCACCTCTGTGGTTGGTGTGAGGGTCACTGTGAGGTTAAGTGGCCTCAAACGGCCACTTAACAGTCATTACTATGGTCATTTTTGCCTTATCTGATGATTTTCTGGTTGGGGCATTGGCTTACCTCTCACAATGAAGCACCTGAACAAGGTGTGGGGCACTGCAGAACCACCTTCTTATTGTTCCTTGTGGTCTTCAAACCCAGCTCGGTCTTCCTCAAGCTGTGAGATGAAGGGGAAGATCCTGGAACGTCTTCTGGGGGGAGGAAGGACTTTTTTTCTCTCTTTTTGTGTTTATCAGCATTGAATTGAGCATGGAGCTGTTCTGTCCAGCTCCAATCATCCCTGCTAATCCCAGTGATGTTCTTTTCCCTTTAGACGATCATGGAGCAGTTCAATCCCAGCCTCAGGAATTTCATTTCTATGGGGAAGACCTATGAAAAAGCCTTAGCAAGTAAGTGACCCTGCACTGCTGGTGTGGATATTGCTGGAATGCTGGGGGCTGCCAGGCTGGAGAGGGTCTGGCTGGGCAGCACAGCCTCAGGAGGGGGGAAAGCTGCAAAACCAGCTTGGGAAGCTCTTTGTTCCCATGATGGGGGAACTGGGAGGATGGTTCTTGGACCTTGATGCAAAGCTCATGTCGCTGGGATGTGCAAGGGGCCGTGGATGTGGGAAGGATTCAAGGGATGAAACGTTGGGAGGCAGCAGGATAACAAACACATCTCCAAACAGTTCATCTTTGAATGTTTAAAATACTGAGAATTAAGATTTTAAGTTCTGCTTAAAGAGGTGTTACTGAAATGTTTAAATTGCCCAGAAGAATAAAGAGAAGGAAAAAACCTAAAAGTATTGATGGCAGCTCTTGATTGGGAATGCAGGATCCTATAGGGAGCCATTAGGGAGGTGTAGATTTAAATGATCAAAAGGAAGCTATGAATTGATTAAACCCCAAAATGGAGGGTGTGGACTCAAACTGGCTTTGTGCACTGCCTGGGCCCTCCTCAGCTGGGTTTTAAGGAGGTTTAAGGCTTTTCTCGACCCAGAGCTGTGTTTTTCCAGGGAGGGCTCTGCTCCCTTCAGAGCCACATGCATCTCCTGGATTTTATTTTTCTAATATCCCGGTGAAAATGCCTGTGAGGGAAGAGGCTGTCATCATCTCCAGCCAGTGGGGGAGAAAATGCTTGGGTATCTCATGTTCTTAAGCGCCGGTGTTTGTGATCCCACCTTCGGGAAGGATCCCTGCCCCTGCTTCCTGCCCGGAGCACATTTTCTTTCCCGCAAGTCAAATGAGGCTCCTGGGTGTTTCCATGGGGATCCTTTAAGGTGCAGCCCTCCCCCGTTCTCAGGTACCAGCACTGCCCCTACTCTGTGTCCTGCCAGTGCTCAGCACTGGTTTTAACTGGGTTTTAATGGATCAACCAGCCATGACGTGGGAAGAGCCCGTCCATCCCGGTCCACTGCACAGGGGCTGTGGACTCTGACCCCCAGGGGTGGGATACAGCACCCTGCAGAGCAGCAGCATTTCCCAGCTATTCCTAGGGATGTTAACGGGGCAGGGGTTCACAATTTAGGGGTGCTTTTCCCTGCTGATTCCCTCCTGGCAGCAGGGAAGGGAGGAGAGGTAGGGGCTGACAGGGAGAAGAGGTTTCCCTTGGGAGTGTGTTTTTATTTATTCTTCTGAAATGTTGTCCTGATAACTCAGCTTTTAATTACCTGGGAGGTGGATCCGTTTATCCCGTGCTGTTCTATCCCAGCTGAAGCCACACACACACTAACCCTGGCATTTGGGGAAAACCAGCCTGATCACTGGGTTTGTATTTTCCCCACATCCCTGCTGTGAAAGCGCTTTGAAGCCGAAGATCTTCCTGTAATTTTTAACTTGTCTTGGATCGTCCTTTCCTCGATCCCTGAGCTGGGGGAGCAGCTGAAGGAAGGGCCCAAACCAGGAGCCAGTGCAGAGGCTGCAGCCCAGCGTTGGAAGGTGCTGAGCTGGGGCTGTACAACATGTTCTGTGATTAGAGGAAACCCCCTGCTTATCTGATTAAAGTCAAGTGTGTAGCTGGAATGTCAACAAACAAGGCTGAACTATAATGAAAGTCTGTGATATTCAATTATTCCGCAGTGATTTCTCAGAGCAGAATTAGCAGCCTGATGGTTACACTGGAATGAAAACCACCGAGGTCCTGCACGTACCTTTTCTCTCCTGAATTGCCCTATAATCTCGCTGTTCCAGCCTTCCTTGCTCACTTTTCTTCTGTTTGTTGTTTAGTCCCTCCCTGTGGCGTTTAAGCCCTTTGAAGTAATATCTATTTTAGTGTCTAGCATCTCCTCAGTGCCCCAGCAGTTCTAATAAACATTAAGGAGACTATAACTTGCATTTCTTGATGCTTTTTAGGTATGACATACGCAGCAAAAGGGTACTTTGATGCTCTGGTGAAGATGGGAGAGTTGGCCAGTGAAAGCCAAGGGTCCAAAGAATTGGGTAAGTCACCAATTTGCTGCTAAATGGAGTTGCAGACTGAGCACAGGGATGAAACTAGATTTTGGTGTTACTGGGGAGAACAAGCTCAGTGTGGAGTGGATCTGAACAGTAGAAGTGTCTCTATATTTACTGTTAATGTAGTTTGGGAAAGAAACCTGATGTTCTTAGTGTCAGGGTTTTGTGGCCCCATCAGCTCATGGTGTTTTTGGAGAGCAGCTTCACGGTGGTTTTGTCTTGCTTTACAAAGGAGAGAAACAGCAGGTTTTGGCCCAGCAGCTGGGGCAGTGCTGCCCATTTTGGGCCTCTGGAGGGGAAGGTGTGGGGAGAGGGAGAAATCTGGGGAAGGGGCAGGGTAGCTGTGCTGGAGCAGTGGTGGATCTGGTGGAGGTCACCTGGCACTTGGGCTGTGGGTGACAGGGTTGGGCGTGTGCCCTGAGTGCAGCAGATCTGCCCAGGATCTGCCCAGGATCTGCCCTGCCTGCAGGTTCCCTGTGCCCCAACACCACAGACTTGTGTTTGCTCCATCACTGGCAGCTGTACAGACTCACGAGTGTGATGCTCGGTGCCTCCTTCCCCTTCTTACACTCACTTCTCTGATCAATCCCTTGGGAGCTGCTTACCCACTCTCCCCATTGCTCAGACTTGGCTCCTGAGTTCTCCCTCCTTGCAGCTGTGGTTTGAGGTGACCCTCCCAGCTCCCCTCGTGGTTCAAGGTGACTCTCCCAGCTCCCCCTGGGGTGCTGCAGCCTTGTTAAGGCTCTCATGGAGCTGAGATGGGTTCTGGTCTCATTGCCTGTGCAGTCCCAGGTGAACTCCCCCTCCTCCTCCTCCTGGTCCCTCCCCCAGCTCTGGCTCACACTGTGCAGGGCGATGGCAAACTGCTCATTAAAGCATCTCTCCGGGGCACTCAATTAACAGAGAGGTTGAGCTGAAACGACTCTAAAGGACTCTGAAGGACCAGGGGAGCAGCCCCTGGGCTGCGATGTCAGACCCTGCCCCCTCAGCCCCGCTGCTCCAGCTCGCTGCTGCCTCGGAATTGTGCTGGGGAAGCAGTTAAGTGTCTATGGAAACCGAGTCGTGGATTAAAGCTGCCTGGAGCAATCTGCTTCTGTTTAATAAATAAAACAAAGAGCCTTGTGTGCGATGCCGCGGCTGCGAGGGCCGAGCAGACCCTGCGAGGGGCTGCCCCAGGGCTGACACATACCCCAGCTCTGTCCTCCTCAGGGGGAAGTTTGGGTGGGAGCTTGGGGACCCCACACCCTGCCTGCCCCTCAGAGCAGCTCCAGGTTTGCCCACGCTTAAAACCTGGGTTTGGTGGCTTCTGGTGGCCCTGGTTCCTCCCCAGGGATGCTGGTGTGATGTCCTTAGTGCCCTCCCACCATCTCCGGGCGTGCATTTCGTGTGTGGCTCGAGTATTTTGGGGTTTAAAACGTTTCCAAATCACTGCTCCTTCCCCTCTTGGTGTGAACATGTCCGAGGGAGGCTCCTGGCAACTCGGGCTGCCCCTCGGCCCCGTGCTCTGTTGATCCTGCTGGTATTTACTGTGGCAGCTGCTCCGAGCAGGAGAAAGTTGAGATAAAATTTCTGGCTGCAGCTCAGTGGAGCTGATAAAAGCTGGGACACAACCCTCTCCCAGCAGATGTGTAAACAGGGGCTGAGAAATGTTCTGGGTCGGGGCTGTGCTCGCCAAAGGTAGGGCTCTTCCTGGGAACACCTTTTACCTTATCACTCCCTGGGCTGGGAATGCCGACAGTGCCGGAAAGCAGCGCTGGGCTCTGGGTTCTTTCATAGGGGCACAGACTGGTTTGGGCTGGAAGGGACCTTAAAACTCATCCAGTCCCACCCCCTGTCCCATGGGCAGGGCCACCTTCCACTAGCCCAGGTTGCTCCAAGCCCCATCCAAGCTGGCCTTGGACATTTCCAGGGATGGGGAACTCATTTCAGAGCAGCGAAAGGGGATGCTCTTAATTGCTGCTTCTATTAATGTCATGCCCCCCCATCTCCCTCCCTGAGTGGGGATTTTCCTCCAAGAGGTATAGGGAAAACTGCTTCAAGATGTCAGGCAGGATCCTGTTGGGACCACAGCTCATGTTTCCACCCTCCATGGAAAAAAATCTGAGATTTTTTTTTTTTTTTCCTCCATAACCCTTTCATTTCTGAATCTGGATGCTTTTCTGATGTCCTTCTTGGGACAGGAGGTGTCAAACCCTGCAGCAACGCAGCAGGTTCATCTCTGAAAACACAAAGCCCTCCAGAGCACTGCTCCAGCCTCGGGTCCCAGCTCCCCGTGGGGCTGCTTAGCACACTGTGCATTGTTTCTAAATTCTCCATCAGATTTTAGGAACTGTGTGTAGACAGGATAATCCCGTGTGGGAATGGAAAAACTGGCAATAATAATAACACCCTTAAGCTGTAATCGGCTCTGGGGGCTGAGTTTTCGGGTGCAAGTGTCTGGTGGGGCCGTACCTGTCTGGACCCACTGCTGGGGTTTGGGGTGTGTTTAACTCAAGTGATGCTCTGAGCAGGTCCAGGGTGCAGCTGTCGGTTGTCCCTGAACAGCAGAAGAGGCACTTTGCTCTGTGCAATTCCCTGGAGCCCAATCCTTGGCATTTGGGGTTAGATCCATGCCTGCAGTTCCCCTGGGCTCCTTGGGCTGTTCCACACATCCTCAGTGGTTGCTGCAGAGGCTTTTGGGAAGCTGCAGAGCTGGTGTGAAGGGCATGTGTGTGTGATCAGTGGAGGTTTGCTCCAGGCTGGATCCTGGAATGGTTTGTAGCCCCTTCTGATGAGCTCCAGTCTCATGCATGTGTCCTCAGGTGACTTTGGCCCTTTTCCAGCTCCTAAGGTCCCTTGGATGCAACTCAAATTGTCATTTCTTTTGACCTTCTTGAAAACTAGGCCATGACAAAGTCATGGAAGGGAGTTTTCTTCTGGTGAGCAGAGCTGGAGACATTTCCACTGGGATGCTGGGACTGAGCAGCACCTACAGGAAACATCTTTGGGGCTGGAGGTGGATTTTGCTCAGTAACTGGATTTCCCAAAGGTCCCTTGCATGAGTGAAGCTGCTCTGGGTGACACAGGGCTGTAAAAGGGCAGCACCTGCAATAGTTAGTCAAACATTGTTGAGCTGAAATGAGCCCCTGGTAAATAAGGGCTTTTCATTTGCACAGTAAAATCAGGACTGGTGGCACCTTTATGGCTTGGGCTGGAAGGGACCTTAAAGCTCATCCAGTTCCACCCTCTGTTGTGGGCAGGGACACCTTCCACTGGTCTGGCTTTCTCTAAGCCTCATCCAACCTGGCCTTGGACACTTCCAGGGATGGGGCATCCCAGAGTTCAGCCTCTCCAGCAGCTCTGGGGTCTGGCCCAGCTCTTGGAGGCTTTGTGCTGCACCAGATCCGCTGGGAACATTAATCTGTTAATTGGATTTGTGGTTGTTTTGGGTAGGTGCTTCCTGCAGCAGCAGAGATGCAGATATAGATCCTGAGGGTGTCAAAGGTCAGGGTGGTACTCTGTGTGGGATCAGGGACTGCTGGAGCTGGCAGTGGCCACGGTGCCTGGTGTCCACTGGTGGTGACAACTCTGTGCTGGTGGAAGAAAGGATGCTCTGGACCTGCGTTTCCACCTGTGATTCTGTTAAAAGACCTGAGAAACTGTTCCAGAAATCCAGGTCTCTGTCTCCAAGGTGTGTGGGGAGGGAAAGAAGCTGCAGGAATGGGCTTGCTAAGAGTGCAGAAAGGCAAGAAAGACCTCTCAAATCCTTCTGCTGCCTCAGGACAGGGCTCTTCCACTGCCTTCGTCCCTCTGATGAGGAGCAGACGGCCAAGACAGTAGCTTGTTCTCACCACCCTGTGTTTGGTACGTCGTGGTGGAGGGTTATAAATGAGCATCTGTGATGGCCACGTGGACTGGGTGGAGTTACCAGCGTGTAGCAGCTGGGTAAGGTTTGGGTTTCACCTTCTGTGGTGATGGTGACACCTTCCAGGGCTGCCCACCTGCTGTGTGCCCCTGCTCCGTGCCTGGGATGGGCTCCTGCAGGGATGCTCCATCCTTCTGGGGGATGAGGGACCCTGTGTGTGTCCATGGACTGGTTTCTGCCGTCCATCAGCGATGGGCTGAGCAGGTTTCAGAGGGGTTTGGGTTGGTGTGTGGCCAGCTCCAGGACCTGGAGGTGTTTGCTTCCCTGTGGGACTGCTGGTGTGCAGAATGGATTGGATCGTGTGGACCAGGCTGGTGAATGTGAGGTGGTGTTCTCATGTGCTAATTAATCCAGTACCACCAGTATAGCAGCTGCCAGAGCAGTTGGGCATCAGGGACTCGCTGGTCTGTACATCTTGGTACAGACACAGGATTGGTGCCCATCCAGGGGGCTGTGGGGGGCACAGAACATCCCAGGTCACCCCAGTCTCTAATCTGTGCCTGGTAACAGTGTCAATGGCAACTGCTCAGCCTGAGGGAGCCAGTTACTGGGACTGTGTTATCGAGTCAGGATGCCTTGGGAAGCTTTTGCTTTTCCCTTCACCTTGTCTCTCAATAAACAAACAGCAAATGTCTGGAGCTGTGCCAGGCAGGGCTGGAGCAGGGGCTGGAGCAGCGCTGAGCGTTGTAACGCTGACAGTCACTGATGTATTATCAACACATCACCCAGTCCTCTGAGGCTGGGAGAAGTGAAACCCTTCTGAAGAGGAAAGGGATGAGTCAGTGTGGAGAAGCTGATTGTTTCCCCACACTGGTCTCCTTCCCCCTCCCCGCACACGCACGGACCTTCCCCGGCTGTGGCGAGGGAACGTTGGTGCTGATGGAGCCAGAGCCTCTCCCCGGGGAGGTGCTGGGCTGGAAATGCTGCTCCCCAGGCCTTGGGAGCTGGTCTGTGCCGTGTGCTGGGTCTGTGAGCCTGGATCACCATACACTGATAGGAGGGAAGTGATTCTCTCGGTTGCCGAAGTTTTCAGAAGAATCGTTTCGGTTGAAAAAGCCCAAATGTTAACCCAGCACTGCCAAGGCCACCACTAAAACACGTCCCCAAGTGCTACACCTAAATGTTTCTGCCTTAAATCTGGCTGGATCAGATCTTCAGCACTGAGGTGCTGTGTGAGCAGAGTTATTGCTGGTTTGTGTTTATGGGATGTGCCTGAGCCCTGACCAGGAGAGCTGGTCGACGATGGTCCCCTGGCCACCATCTCCCACTGCCCTTGCAGGATAGGCTGGGCTGCTCCAGCCCTGCACAAGCCTCAACATGTTCTGTCTCGGAGCAATTTGACTCCTTCATTAGTGAATTGTTGGTATTTTTATTAAAAATGGCTTGTATCTTGCTTGAGAGGAAGGGAACAAACCATAATCTTTAGTCTCTGACAAGTCCAAAGCAAACCCCGGAGAGCTGGGATCCCACTGCTTCACCTTCTGGAGGGGCAGCTGGCTCCTGCCGTGCCAGTAGCAATGGGAGGGATGTGGAACAACCTGTTTGCCTGTTGTGGGCTGGGTGTGGAAGGGAAGGGCCCACAATAACTCCTATAGTTCTTCTCCCAGAGCGATACTGTGAGTCAGCCATAAACAGCAGCTCCTCCTTCCCTGTGCTCTGAGCCTGTGGGGAGGTGTGTGAGCGGGTGAAACCCTCTGTGTTTTCACGGCTGGGTGTAGGTGAGATGCTTCACCCGGAGGTTCTTCAGCTGCAGGATGTGTGTTTTGGCAGCAAGGCGATGGTGCTTGAGCTTGGCACAACTCACGCTGTGACCTGAGCTCTTGTCCTGCTGCACAGTGGGAGTTCAGCTGTTTAACTTACAAATACCTGTGGCAGGTGATGCATAACGCCCTTGGCGTGGGTGGCTGTGCTGGTGCCAGGACGTGTGCCCTGTGCCATGGTCCCAGCCCTGCCACTGAGGTCTGGGAATGCTGTGGGGTGGTCTCCTCATCACCAGGGTGGTCTCCCCATCATTTCACAGTGTCACCCCCAACACAGTGCCACAGATCCTCTTCTGAGCCAGATTTTGAAATACTGAGGCTTTCCAGCTACTGTGGTATCTCTTAGTCACAGTTTCACTTCATCCCTGTTTGGGGTTGGTTTTGGGGTGACATGTCTGTTAATGTCTCACACACAGTCTGTAGGTTTTTGCGGTGGTGAAGCAGCTCACGGTGTGGAGTTATCGGGGTGTCAGAGGTGCCACGTGGGAATTCACACCTCACTGCTGCTGTTTTTAGGGGATTTAGTTCAAATCCTACTGCTCGGTGTGGGCTCCCAGCGATGGCAGAGGCCACGGGAAACCCGGAGCTGGTTCCTTTGGAACTGGCCGGGGAGAGGCTCCGGAGGAAGCTCGTGTGGCTCCGGGCGGGCGTCCAGCCCTTCCTGTGCTGCACCAGCTGCAGCACAGGGCTCACCTCGAGCTGTGGGTGCTGGGCTGAGCGTGGGGGGCACAGGGGGGATGGCAGCATCCCCTCCCGGGCTGGGACACAGGGATGGAGAGCTGCTGGGAAAGGCTCCGTGCCGCTGCTCACTTTGATGTGGGGCTGGAACGCCCCGATAAGAGCTGAGGGGGTGGTGGTGGAGGAGAAAGTCAACCCGAAAGATGTGTATCTGTGCTGAGAGAAGCACCACGTGCCACCCTAGCTGCTGGGAACAGACAATTCCCTGGGGGAGGAACGTGGGGAGCGGGGCAGAGCCCTCTTGCCCCAGTGCAGGGGTACCCAGAGCTGGATCTGGGGATATGGATGTTATTTCTGAGCACCCTGGGCCCCGCTCTCGGGTGGCTTGGGAGCTCAGTGTTGGTGGCCAGAGCCCTCAGCCAGCCCTACTCTTGGGGTTTCCACTCTGGCCAAAGGGGAAGCAAGAGGGAGAGGGGGTGGTGCAAGCTTTGGGAATAATGAACATTGATACTCTCCTGACAAAGCCACCTCAGTGTGACGTCAGTGCCTCCTTGCAGTGGGAATTCGTGCACTTCCCATCATTGAGCTGTTGCAGCCCGAGCAGGAGCGATTTCCTGGAGGTCCCGTGGTGGTGACCCCTTGCCCAGACCTCCCTGCTCGTGTGTGAGGCTCCTCACTGCAGACATGTGTGGTGGCCGGGTGTGAGTGCTCCGCTTGGCTCGGCACCTGGAGAACCAGCTGGAAAAGTCACAGCCGGCTCAGTGGCCGTGGAGATCTTGGCACGCGGTTTCCTCCTGGTGAAGGAGTGGAGCTGCAGCCCTGCCATCTGGTCACCTCTCGCTCTGTGGGGTGCTCTGAGCATCGCTGCTCTTTCAGGGGGCACAGGGGGATGGTGGCCCTGGCAGCAGCCAGTTCTGTCACTGCACTGACCCGCAGCGGAGGGGCCAGTGCCTGCCAAGGGATCGGATTTTAATGTTTGCAGAACAGTTTGAGACACAGTGTATGGTGCAAAGTACGAATTGCTCCAGCCAGGAGAGCAAAGAAATGTTGGGGCAGGTTGTTCCTGGTCAGCTGGGGGTGTTGACACTCGGCTGGAGCAGGGCCCACGTGCCCAGGGATGTGGAGGGACAGGGAAGGGCTGGGCTGGGCTGGGCTGGCGTGCACCATCTGTGCTGGATGAGGGTCCCAGTTGTTCCCTTGCACGGTGAGGAGCTGGTTTGGCTCATCCCAGCCTCCCTGAGGTTTGTCCCAGGGCTCTGGGGCTGGTGTCTCCTTCCCATTGTATTTCCCATCCCTGGGGTTGGGTTCTGTTTTTTAAAACTCCGTGTATGTATTTATGGGCTGTATCTTTGGTGCTCTGAGTTGTCACAGGTGCTGCTCTGCTTTTCTGGGATGGAATGTGGGATGCTGCTCCCCTTTGGAGAGCTCCAGTGGGTGTCAGGGATCCCCCAGCCCTGCTTGGGACCTGCCAGGGCCAAGTCCTGAGGCAGGAGCAGCTCAGAGACATAGCTCATGGCTTTCCATTTTCAGACAGCTCCGTGGAGGTTGGGAGCCTTGTGGGAAACTGCAACCCACTGTGCTGGAAGGCAAAGCTTCCAAACTCAGCCCTGAATAGAGCTGACAGAGCTGGGCTCTCCCCAAGGCTCGCTCTGATCCGGAGACAGGATCGGGGCTTTCAGTCGAGCGGTAGCGCTGGCTCTGCTCCTAAAAGATGCTCCGTGTGTGTGTCTGGCTCCAGCCACTCTGGGGCTTCTGCTGAGGCAGGACACTGCCCTTCCTCCAGGAACAGCACTGGGTGTGGGGCTGGAATCCTGCATTGGAAAAGAAAAATGAAAGGAAGTGACAGAGCAGAGCTGGGACTGCTTGGCTGCAGTGGGGATGCCCTGGGCAGCAGCTGCAGCCCTGGCTCTGCCCTTGCTGTCCATGTCTGGTTCAGCCCCCGAGGCCGAACAAATCAGTGGTTTTGAGGCAAATACCAGCCCAGGGCTTAGCCCCATGTCCTGTGACCTGCACTGAGTGCCAGGGCCATGTTTGCCCACTGCAGGTGCCCAGTGCTTGGCCCAGGGGAGAAGGGCTGCCCCCGGTGCTGGGATCCCACTGCTGCTTGTCCTTGCTTCCCTTCCTGCTACACAAGGTTTGCCTGTTTGTCCAAGTGTCTCAGATGAGCATTGTCTCCCCGCAGCTCCCCAGAGACAGGCACAGGGGCATTCCAGCAGCACCCCTGGGTCTGGATGCAGATCCCTCCTTGCTAACAGAGCACTGCCTGCCCCAACCCTAGGGTGTTCCCCTGAGCTTGGTGCCTCAAACCCCCTCCCTTCATCTTGTCTTTGCAGGGGACGTGCTCTTCCAGATGGCAGAAGTCCACAGGCAGATCCAGAACCAGCTGGAGGAGATGGTGAGTGCCCAGCCCGGTGTGCTGGGGTCTCTGCCTGGCCAGGGCCTCTGCTGGTGCAAAGTGCCTTGTCCAAATGACACCAGCCCCTCTGACGTGGGTTTGTTGAGCTGCAAAGGGTTTGCTCTGCTTGGGCATCTGTTTCTGCCCTGCTGGGCCCCCTCTGAGTGTCCTGTCCCTCACTGCCATCAGCCTGTGCTCTGTCTGTACAGCCCTGCTGACCTGCCATCCCCGGTGCCACCTGGTGCCCCCAGGGCCCCACACTTTGCCAGCCCTCCCCAAGAACCCTGTGTTTTCTTTCTCCCTGCAGCTCAAGTCCTTCCACAACGAGCTCCTGACGCAGCTGGAGCAGAAGGTGGAGCTGGACTCCCGGTACCTGAGTGTGAGTTACGGGCGCGTGTCCGGCAGCACAACCCTGGGCTCGGGTGTCCCCACGTCCCCCCCGTCACCCACTCCCAGCTCAGGGATGTTGTCCCCTGCCACAGTTCCTGCCCCTGTTTACAGAAGGGTCCCCAGTCTCACCGTGCACAGAACAGTGTTGTCCCCAGTGTCAGGCTGTTGCAGCCCCTGTTTGCTCTCCAGGCCATGGGGATCCCACTTTTCCGGGGGGAGCGGGGGATGTCTCTGCTTATCTCTCTCACCCCTTGGCAGCAGGAGCTGTGGCTGAGGCTGAGCTTTCTCTTGTCACATCCAGGCTGCACTGAAAAAATACCAGACGGAGCAGAGGAGCAAGGGGGACTCACTTGACAAGTGCCAGGCAGAGCTGAAGAAACTTCGGAAGAAGAGCCAAGGCAGCAAGAACCCCCAGAAGTACTCGGACAAGGAGCTGCAGGTAGGACCCTGGGCAGGGGGATACGAGAATCTCGGAGGGGGGGACACAAGCGTTGTCCCTGGGCTGGCAGCAGGTGCTCAGTGCTGCACGGTGGAGGTGGCCAAGGTCTTGCGAGCGCTTAGATAAGGACTTGCTGCTCTCTTTAGAGGAAGGGCCCAGCAGAATTCGGGGTTCTGGTGGGATGTGGGAGGTGTGGATAGGGAGGGGGTGGCAGCCAGCGGTGGAACAGGCTGTTCTCATGGCCACGGTGCAGAGTGGGGGCTGCGAGCTCCCCTCGGCAGATGTGCCAGGCGCGTGCCAAGGCCTAACCCTGCCCAGCCCGCTGCTCCCACTGCTTCTCACCTTTTTGCTTCGTGAATGACACCCAAAAGACCATTGATTTCTGTTGTGCCCGAGCCATCGTCCTCTGGGTGGTGTTTTGCCCGTGTGTTTTCCTGCCGGGTGCCCCTTCCCCCCCGGCGGGGGCGGCCGTGCTGAGTCACCGCGGTGTGACGGCGTGTGGGCTCCGTGGGCTCCGTGGGCTCCGTGCCCACCACGCGCTCCTCAGGGGGCCGGGGTCCCTCACGGCCCCTCGGGGGGCTGTGCTGCGGGGTGAGGCGTTGGGATTCCCTGCAGAGGGGGAGTGGGGTTCGGGGTCTCGCTGAGGAGCATCCAAGGCACATCATGGCAGTGCCAGGACGTACCGAGGGACGGCGGCACTCGGGTCTCTGGTGGGTTCACACCATGAGTTCGTGTCTCCTGCACTCTGCAACCTTCAGTTTGAGCTTTGCCCGGAGCACGGCTGGTCCTGGCAAACTTTAAGGGATAATTGATGTACCTGCGTGCCCTGGCTGACAGCCGGGTGCTGCTGGGAGTTGATGGCAGCACGAGTAGTGCTTGGAAAGGGGAAGATGAAGCCAGAGTCCAGGAATTACCCAGTCTTGTCTCGAGGCGTGGGAGTGTGTGTTTTGTTGGGACCAGAGTCTGTTTCTTCAGGTGCCACGGGCAGTGACATGTCAGTGATCCCTGTTTGCTGAAGGGGATCTGGGCATCAGTGGTGCTTTGCTTGTGGGGGTGAATTTAATGTCATTTAGTGGCATTTAGCCACCAGCAGAGAGTAACGGGGAGGGCTGTGCTGGGAAAGTGACGTTCCTAATTGCACTGAAATTTGGGAAACGGTGGTGTGAATCAGAACAAGCACTGGAGGAGGAAAATATACCTGCCATTGTCGCTTGGGGTGGGGGTCCTGTGTGGAGCCACAGAACTGGAAGGTGCTGAGGCAGCACAGTGGGCTGGCATGGGGCTGGAAGGTGCTGGAATGGGGCTGGAAGGTGCTGAGGTTGCACAGCCGGCTGGAATGGGACTGAAAGGGGCTGGAATGGGGCTGAAAGGGGCTGGAGTGGGGCTGGAAGGGGCTGGCACAGCACAGCTCTGTGTCCAGCCTGCTGAGGGGGGGTCTGGTGTGTTCTCCGGAGCTGAGCAGCATAAACCACTTCTGAGCATGGTGTCTCCACAAGCCCTGGCTCTGAAATTCCTGCTGAGCAAGAAAAGCCCTGTCAGGCACCGAGCTCAGTGTGGGGGACACGGGGATCAAACCTCTGTTACCCTCCACTGCTGGTGGGGCCAACAGAGCAAAAGCGCTGCCAGAGCCAGCCCTCTCCTGCCAAACCCACGGGGATCCCCATCCCACCCCCGGAGGAGGAGGAGGAGGAGGGAATCCATCACGGGCTGGGCTGTGTGCAGCTGGAGAGGAGGGGTGGGCTGAGCCTCCCGCTGTGATGTGGCAGGGATGGGATAGTCCTGTTAGCACAGCTCTTTGGGCAGGGAAACAGGATCAGGCACTCATTCCCTTTAATCTTCCAGCAGTAAGTATTTAGGAAGCGCTTATCTCTGAAAAAGCCTTATGATGGCTTTTGAGCTTAGAGAGCTATGAGACCCTTCCAACTCAGAATATTCTGTGATTTTTGTGACTGCCCAGCTGCGCACGGCGGGGGTTTGCTTTGCTTTAGATCAAAATACAAAGTTAAAATTGCTGGATTCAGCCAAGAGGGCAGTCCCCGTCTGCTCTCCACTGCCTGCAGAGCTGGTGTTTCCTTAACAGAAAAAGAGAGTGTTTTGGGCCACCCTTGATGCTGCTCTTACCTTTGCCTGGGTGTCAGAGAGCAGAGGGATTGCAGCAAGGGGGGGTCCAGTGGGCACTGGCCCGAGGAGGGAGCCTTGTGTGGGGCTTTGTGGAGTTAGAACTGGGCTTTGTGGAGTTGGAACTGGTCTCTAAGTGGATCAGGAGCATCTGCAAAGCTTTGTTGGGCTTTGCCCCACAAAAGTCTTTCTCAGGCTGGTTAAAGCAGAGCCCCAGGCAGCTCCCCCTCTGAGTGGTGCTCAGTCTGTTGGGCTGACCTGAAGCCACCCCTGTGGCCACTTGCCAAACCCCTGGTGTCGTCCTCAAAGCTGCTGGAGGCACCTTGTGATGCTTTGGGGATGCTGATGGCTGCACCACAGACGGATCAGACACGGCTGGATGGAGCTCTCCTGGGGCTGGGGCTGGTTACTTGTCTCGTCGTGGGAGAAGCTGCTGTTGATGGAAACGTCCTGGTAGCTGCATCAGTCACCTCCTTCAGTACAGCAATAACATCTTGCTCTTCTGAGGGCTCATGCACGTAAGCTGCTCCAGCAGCCGGGAGTCTGATGCTCTGTCATCATCTTTCTTCATATTTAATGCTCCGGGAAGCAGAATTGCTCCTTTCTGCCTCTTCACCACTTGTTGAGTGACCACATCCTGTCATCGCCTGGCAGCGAGACGGGTGGGTGAGACACGTGTGGGGGAGCAGCAGTGGCAGTGCTGTCCTGCAGGGAGCTCCAGGGCCTGCTTTATGTAACATCCCTCAAGGTGAGAGGAGATTTGGGGCCATCCAGGCTCTGCTTTGCTGAGTGGCAGAGGACACCCCTTGTCTGGGTTGGGACACCAGTGTGGCTTTGGCTCCACATTCTGCTGGATCAATCAGAGAGCCAAGTGAAACAGCCCAAATGTCTCCCTTCTTACTCTTTAATTCAGATTTCCCCCTTTATAAAGAAATAAGTGCAGAAGTTCAGCAGGGACTGCACATAACGAATTATCTCATGGCTGGTGAGCAGTAGCTTTGGAGCAGGGGGGTTGAGGAGGTGTGATGCTCAGGGACACTTGCAGGAGGCTTCTCCTGAGCTGCACCAGCCCCTTGTTGCATGGGGAGAGCTGATCCAGTCTTGCCTGCAGGTCCCACACCATCCAGCCCCTCCCTTGCGCTGATTTTTGGAGTTTCATAGATGAGGACGAGTGTTGCAGCATTAAATGGTTGAGGAGTTAAAACACCTCGTGGTTTGCAGTGCAGACAGCTCACGTAGCTATAAAGCAGCTCTGAGTGCCATTAGGCTGCAGGAGTGATTTTCCAGCTCCACAGCCCTGTCTGTCGTGGTGGGGAGCGATGCTGTGGTTGTGGGTTGCTGCTGCTGAGCGTTGCGTTGAGCCAGGCTTTTGTTCCTCATGAATCAGTGCCGAGCTGCTGCTCCACACGAGGGCTGAGGGCTGAGCCTGCCTCGCATGGCTCATCTTCCTCCAGGAGTGACTGAGATGGGGCTTTGACCTGTGCTGGAAACCAGGAGAACAAACCAATCCCATTCACTTCACGTGTTTGATGAAGAGGAATGAAAACAATATTAAGATTAAACAGTCACCGAGGAAGCTCAAGTGCTGTAATTTCATTAAAGGCTGGTTTGTGATCAAGCCATGAAATCAAGGTCATGATGGGTTTGGGACCTGGATTGAATCAGCAGCTCAGCAATGAAGTTATGTTGGTTCAAATTATTTATCAAATCTTATTAGTGCTGTGAGCAATTGGATTTCTGCACTGTCCTGAGACAAACTGGCTGTAATTCAACCTAAACAGCAAAGGTGAGGCTGGGTGTTTGTGGTGAAAAACTGTACCTGACCTGGGTGACAGGGGGTGACCCTGGGTGGGCTGTGGGGGCTGAGCTCAGCCTCTGCCCAGATCTCTCTTTTGCCCACACCTGTCCTTGCTCCTGTGGGAATATTTTAAGCATTAAATACTACTGTACCAAATAACCAGGGGGTTTTATAAACTTCTGTCATTGAAACCTCATTTGGATATTCCCATCAGGAGAAGTAATTTTAGGTGTAGGTCAGGAAGCTCTAACTGACACAAAGTTTGCACAAACCAGGTTATGAGGTTTATGTGAAAGTCAAATAGAGAAGGACTCTGAAAGCTCTGTGGCTCCAGGTGATTCTCTGCAGGTTGGATCAGGATTTAGGCTGAGGGAGGACATGTGCCCAAACCCAGCAAGAGAAGAGAAGGCTCTGAGGAAACCTCAGAGCCCCTTCCAGTGCCTAAAGGGGCTCCAAGAGAGCTGGAGAGGGACTTGGGACAAGGGCCTGGAGTGACAGGACAAGGGGGAATGGCTTCTCACTGCCAAAGGGCAGGGTTAGATGGGATACTGGGGAGAAATTCTTCCCTGTGAGGGTGGTGAGAGGCCCTGGCACAGGTTGCCCAGAGAAGCTGTGGCTGCCCCATCCTTGGAATTGTTCCCTGGAAGTGCCTGTGCAGCTCAGGGCTGTGTCTGATGAGCATTTTGGTACCAAACCTTGTGCACAGAGCCGCTGCTCGGGGGTGTCCCTGTGCTGAGGGAAGGTTCTAAGCAGCTGCTGGTGAAACCCCCGCAGAGCAGGCTGGAGCCAGCACTTCCCTGCTGCTCTGCTCTCTGAGTTTTATGTAATGTCACATGTGTGCCTGGCTGGTGCTGAGCAGGAGCAGGGAAGGGACGTGGCTGGTGCCCAGTGAGCGGATGTGTGAGACAGGGAGCGTAACGAGGGGAGACAGGGAGCGTAACGAGGGGAGACAGCCCTTCTCGGGGGAGGGAGGCTGGCTGGTGTCCTTGGAGCACAGGGACTCTTGGGGTTGGCTCCCCAGGATCCACTCTGCATTCCACATCACCTTGGATAACCATCAGCAGCAGTGCCCGGGCAGAGGCTGTGGCTGGAGCTGGAGCTGGAGCTGGAGCAGGGAGGCAGCCGGGCAGCACGTCAGGGGCAGGGTATGGAGATGTGCCTGGGCAGGGCAGGGGGAGGTTGTCCTCTCCCTGGCAAAAGTGCAGGGCTCCAGGGTGCCCATGTGCCAGCTTCCATGCAAGGAACAATTTCTGGGAATGAGGGGAAGCTGTTGGGGCTGAGCATCCCTGGCTGCTGGTTCTCCTCACCTTGGCTCTATGCCATGGGAGGGTTTCAGCTCTTTTGCCTTGAGACTGTTCCCCAGCTTAGATGCTCTTGCCCTGCTAATCAGCCTAACTTCTTTTTTATTTTATCCCGTTACTTTCTAGCTATTCTCCCTCGTGGTTCCCTAAATAAATCCTCCCTTCTCTCCATGTTTACTCCTTCCAGGTATTTCAGCCTGCTGCATTGATCCAGCACAGCTCAGAGTCCTCTTGCTTCTCTGACCTTTTCTTTGTCTTTTTCCACTGCTCTGTGCCACTGGTCCTGAGCAATCCCTCCTAAGGGTCACCAGCTGGAGCTGGTGCAGTGGCACAGTCCCTTCCCTGCTCTGCATCCCTCTTGGTGCAGGATAGAAGCATGCCCACCATGTGTTCCCCTGGGATTTCAGGCCTCAAAACTCAGCACTGTGGTGTCCTGGCAGCCCAAACTGTGGTGTGCTGGTGACCCCAAGGCAGCTTCTTCCTGCTTGTTCCTGGGTCCAGTCCTTCTCTCAGCCTGATTAGTGCCAGATGCACCCGATCACCAAGAAGGGTGTGTAGTGATGATTGCTGTGGTGGGGCTCAGTGTTGCCCTTGGCTCATATTCCCAGCCAGTTTGCACGTTCCTGGCTGGGATGGAACAGTTTGAACTAATTTCCCAGTGAGGATGTGGTTGTCAAAGGCTCGGCAGGAGCGCGGTGACGATGGTGCTGCTCTACCTGCTCTGACAGCAGCCTGTGCTTGAAAGGAACTCGGGTCTTGACACTTCCCAGCTGCTCTTTGATCTTCACACCCCTGGATGTGTCGCTGTGGCGTTGGGAAGGTGTCAGCAGCACGCCGGGGCTGTGTGTGCCCTGCCTTTCCGTGCCGGGGCCGACAGCGGCTGCTCGAGCTGGGACTTGGCAGCAGCTTGTTCCCTTCCCACCTTCTCGTGCTCCTAATTCTCTGTCTGACCGTGGGGGTGACCTGGTTGGGCTGCAGGGTGGAGGTTGCCCAGTGTGGCCAAGCGTCGCTCCCCCATCACTCGTGTGCCTGGGCACTGGGGGGGTCCCAGGCTGAGCCCCCACAGCTGGGGGTCCACCCCAGCACCAGGCAGGGGCCCTGGCTCTGCCAGACCTGTGTCATGGCAGCTTCTTGTGCCAGAGCGTCTGCCCGGCACCACCACGTGCTGACATTGCTAATTAGGTCAGCGGCTCCCGTGAATTGGAAGTGGATGCGGGAGGCAGGGGGGGGACGGGGGAGTTATTTGAGGCCTCTCCAACCTAGAAACCCAGAAAAGATTTTCTGGGGCTGTTGGGTGGCTCCAGTGTTTGCTCTGGCCCTGGGCACAGCCATGACCACTGCTGTGGCTGGTTCTCTGCCTGCTCGGGTCATAAATTGGGAGTTTTTCCTCCTTTAAGCTGGGAATTCTATTTAGACAATGCCTAACATGTGAATTTGAAGCTGACAACCTAAATCAAGGTCTCAATTTGCAATGCAGCACTCGAGTGGTGCTTGTTGTGGGGGTCTTGGAGAGGCTACTGCAGAGCCTGAGTGCACCAAGGCTGGGGTGAAGCACCTTCCCCCAACCCTTACAGGGGGTATCATGTCATACCAAGCTGAGAAAGGTGTTTGGCTGGGGCTCACAGTGTGGGGTGGCTGCAGGTTCCCCCCATTCATGGGGTGTGGAGACATGAACAGCAACCCTGAGTCCTGGTGGGCACCTGGTTGCAGGTGAAGCCCCGCTACTGGTTAAGCCAGAGCCTCTCCTTGGGAGTACAGTCCTGAGGTTTTTACACTGTGCTTTGTGTGTTTCTTTTTCCCTGTGCATCCGTGTGTTACTTTTTCCCTGTGCATCTGGCACATCTAGCAGGGTTGTTATTTAAATTTGCCTTTCTAGGCATTATCTGAAAGCTCACTGTCGTTTCGAGCAAACCCAAACTGAAAAGCACCTCGTGAACAAGGAGCATCGCTCGCCATTTTGTGATGGAATAACGTGTAAAATCAAGGCTCTGGGTAAATCAATGGCACATGGAGCATATTTACATAAAGTATATAAAGCTCTGAGTACTAAGTTTAGAGCGTGGGCTCTGTGCTCGCAGAGCGGCGTGTTCCGACTGGCTGAGCCGTTGAGACAAGCCTTTCCTCAGCTGAGGAATCAGCAGGATCCTTGCAAAACCAGCCTGCAAGCAGGGGTGTAAATAAGGCTTGTACCTGCATATTTAAATCATGGTTAGAACTGAAGCTCTCACGTTGCTGAGATAAGGGTTTCTCCCTGTGCTGTGGTGTGTTTGGGCTGGAGCTGTGCCCGCCCGCCGTGCCGGGGCATGGCAGTGGCTGACCTGGGGATGGTGATCCTACAGGGAACCGTGGCGGGATGGTCCTTGTGCTGCTGAACCAAATTAGCTGGAGCTGGACTCATTTCAGTCCTCACCTTCTCATTCTCAATGGCCCAGTTAGTAAATTAGGCAGGATGAGTTTTGGGGGTCGGGGTCTGGGTGTGCTCCCACACTCCTGCTAATTCAGGTGCTGTCAGGGTTGTGCTGTGCTGCCTTCCAGAAATGGGGCTCTGCAGGAGTGGGAGCATCGTCCTGGTGCTTCCCCTGGAACAGAAACTTTCTGGGGAGTTGTGTGTGGGGATAGCAGTGCTCGATCCATCCCAGGTGTAGCAGAGCTGCCATGGAGGAGCTCGGGCACCAGACCGTGAGGGAGCCAAGGGCTCTCTGGGGGCATCCATCCCCCTGGCTCCCATCACCACTGCCGTGCTGACGCCTCTGGGCTCTGTCCCTGTGCTGTTCCCGGCTAATAATACCCGGGAGGAGGCGGCGTGCTGCTGTCCCAAGCCCACAGCGGGAGCGATGCCTTCCCCGAGCACATCCTCCCACGGCCTCCTGCTCCCGCCCCCGGCGTGTCCGGGGCTGCTGCCGCCTCCTCCCTGTGCCCTGCCTCCCCCCTGTGCCTCCCCTGTGCCGCTGTGCCAGCTCAGCCCAGCTGCCACCGGCCTTCCATACCTTTGCTTGGGGCTGACACCAAAACCTCCACCACTTCCACTTCTGTGCCCGGTGCCATTAGCTCGGTTCCCTTCACTTATTTCTGTTCCTGACTGCGGGCATTTGCACTGGATTTTCTAATTCTGGGGGGGGGGGGAAAACCTCTCCTTGAAACAGGGTTGTTGGTTGCAAACTGGATTTTTAACCCATTTCCCCCACCTGTGTTGGTGCATGGGGGGACACCTAAAACCTGCTGGGTCTGGCACAACCATGCACGGGGTTTGCTGTTGGGGGGATGCTCAGAGCAGGGTGGGAACAGGACCAGGACCAGCCCCAAAATAATACCCCTTTGAAGTCTGGGATGCCACTGAATCTCGTTGCTTTTGTTGGTTTGCTCCATTTTATGTGTCTGCTAATAAATATTGGAGCATGCTAAAAATAACTGATAACCGTGAAGAAAGCAACAAAACTGCTTTGGGCCCTGAATTTCCAGTTTAATTCCTGTCTTGGAGAAGTTCAGGCTGCCTGAAGTAGGCCCAGCCCTGCCTGGGCTGGGGGTGGTTGTGGCTTTCCAACTTGGTGTTGCCATCCTGGGGAAGAGCTGGTGACAAGGAGATGTCACAGGGCAGGACAGCGATGGGTGGGTGACAGATGCTGCTCTCCCGGTGCCACATCCCAGGTGGGAACTCCCTGCAGTGGAGCTGGGGGCATCCAAAGGGATGGAGGGAGGAGAAAGTGGGCAGCTCGGGGAGCTGGGGACACCTCGTGTGCTCCGTGCTCGGGGGTGCTGGTGGTGCTCTGCAGTCCCTGGAGTCCCCTGTGTTCCCCCAGCCCCGTGTGCCAGCGCTGGCACAGCTTGGTGTGGCACAGCCGTGCTGGCACCCGGCACGCGGGGAGAGCAGGAGCCAGTGGAGGAGCCTCTGGCTGCCGCATTTGTGGAATCTCTGCCTGGCACTGGCAGGGCCACAGCGTCTGCCAGCCCTGGAGTGTGGCCCCTGGGAAGAACCACCCCAGCAGTCCTCACCAGGGGATCCTGTGCCAGCGTGTGGCACTGCCCTGGCACTGTCCTTGTGTCCCAGTGGCTGACTGGCTAACACAGATTGAAGACGCTGGTGGTAGTTTTATCATCGCTGCTGGTTGTGTGTGTTGGAGGGGTCCACGTGCCATCCTGCTGCAGCCCCCCCTTCCCTTCCCAGCGGCACAGCCCTGCCCATCCAGCGATGGACCCCGGCAGGGATTGGGCGCAGACAGCGGCAGCAGGGGAGGTACCGGGGGCGTTCAGCCCCGGGCCGGAGCCGCGGCGGTTTGTGCGCTGGCAGGGACCAGCCGGGGGCTGCGGGGGCCGCTGCCAGGGCCGGGCCATCGGGGCAGCCCCCCCGGCCCCCGCAGGCGCCTCCGAGCCCGGGTGGTGAGCGGGCGGCCGCGGGTACAGCTCGTCCCGGCAGCCCACGAGCTGAGTCAGCGCCTCTGCGTGGGGGGCTCCGATGAGTAAGGGCGGGTTGGAGGGGCTGTGCAGGCACATGTGTGCCTGTCCTGTGCTGGGGGGGGCTGCCTGCTGCCCCCACCGCTGGCCCCTCTCCGAGGATGCTGCAGCACCCCCTGCCCCGCGCTCGGCAGTGACGGCAGCTCCTCTCCCTGTTCTAGTACATCGAAGCCATCAGCAACAAGCAAGGGGAGCTGGAAAACTACGTCTCTGATGGCTACAAGACAGCTCTGACGGAAGAGAGGAGACGGTTCTGCTTCCTGGTGGAGAAGCAGTGCGCGGTAGCCAAGAGTGCCATCACCTACCACGCCAAGGTGAGTCGCACCCACCGGAGCCGGTCCCAGCTGCCCTGTCACTGGGGGGATGCTCCCATCTTGAGGTACTGCCTGTGGAGCAGCCTGATATTCCAAAAACCAAAGCTGGTGGGGCTCCTGCAGCTCAAGGGACAGAGGGGGATGCCCCAGCAGGAACAACTGCTCCTAATCCCTCTTGCCTGTGACAGCCCCACATCCCTCTTGCCCATGGCTGCCTGGACCAAGGGCTGGAACTGCCACCTGCCAACCTGGGAAGCGGCAGCATCCCATATTGGCCCAGAGCAGAATCCATCCGGATGAGGGCTGGGAACGCCGGCGCTGCTCCTGCAGCCTCGTGCTCCCGTTCTGGTTGTTCCCCAGCACCACCCTCCGTGGCTCACAGCAGCCATCTGTCACTGCCACGCTTGGCTCCGGGAGCAGGAGAGGGAGTTGGGATTAGTCAGCGCTGTCCTCGCGCTGCGCCGCGGGATGAATCCACGCTTGGCATGGCGAGCACAGTGCAGGAGGGAAAAACATCTCCCCAGGGCTGGGGGTCAGCAGACACGAGCCAAAAACTTGTTGCTGCAGCAGCACATGGAGGGTGATTTTGCAGGAGGGACTTTGCAGGTGGCTTGTCCAGAGTGTGGTGGGTGTCCAACTAAAAACTCCATCCCACTGTTGCCTGGAGCTCCTGGAGGGTCCCAAGACTGGAGCTGCTGGGACATACTGGGGAAAGGTACTGGGACTTTGAAATTAGCTTAGTGGGGTTTTGATACATGGGGACCAAGTTGTCTCCAGGTGAAGTCAGGCAGAAGTGTCGGGTCACCCTCTGCTGCAGTGGGGGAGTGACCTCAGGGGGTTTTGGACATCTCCCCCCTCAGAGTCACACGATGGGATGCTCGTACATCCTGGGAGAATAAGGACAAGTTTAGTTCCATCTTTTTTCCCCCCTTGGCTTGGAGCATGGCAGCAGGTGGCTGCTGGTCCTGCCACAGGCAGGGAGCAGCGGAGTCTGGATGCAGTGAGAGGAGCTGGAGACTGTCAGGGCTGAGCACTCAAAAGATGCCACTCATCCCTCGGGATGTGGGGCCAGCACGGACCATGGACTGTGCCCTGCCAAGCCTTTGGGCAGGCTTTATTCCTCTGTTCCACACAGAGCTCAGTGCCCTGCCCAACTCCCTGCAGCCCTCAGATGCTGCACACAGGATGCCTCAGAATAAGCCAGGGAGATGGATTACCTTTTCCTTCCCTCCTTCCCATTTTTCATGACACCTCTCTGGCCCAGCTACCATCAGAGCCTGGAAGCAGGACATCCCTGTGTGTTATCTTGCCTGGAAGCAGGACATCCCTGTGTGTTATCTTGCCTGGAAGCAGGACATCCCTGTGTGTTATCATGCCCATGCCACGCACAGAGCTGTTGATCAGTCCCGGATCAGCTCAGCCCTGGATCCATGTGGAGCTGACCAGGGAGCAGGACAGAGCTGGGGTGTTTTTCCACACCCTGTGCCCTCACACCTTGTTTTCCTCTTGCAGGGGAAGGAGATGCTGACACACAAGCTGCCGCTGTGGCAGCAATCCTGCTCAGATCCCAACAAGATCCCGGACCGCGCCATACAGCTGATGCAGCAGATGGCTGCCAGCAGCAATGGCACCATTATGCCCAGCCCTCTGTCCACATCCAAGTCCAACCTCATCATCTCTGACCCCATCCCTGGTGCCAAACCTCTCCCTGTCCCCCCGGAACTGGCACCTTTTGTAGGAGTAAGTATCTCCGTGGTGGAAGCTGTGCTGCCCTTCTGAGCAAAGCCGGAGGGATGAGCCTGGGCCGGTGTCACCGCTGTCCTCGGCAAGTGGCCTTTGGATGGGCTGTCACTGATCCACAGGGACGGGCAGTTCCATGCATGTGCCGTCCTGGGATGTGGGAAGGAGCCTGCCATGGGAATGGGCAGCCTATCCCATCCCATCCCATTCCACCAGGGTTGCTGAGCTCTGGAGGGACAGGGGCTCCTGGGTGTGGTTTGGGGAACCCACGAGCTGGACTTGTCTGACCATGCTGGTCCCAGAGCTGTGGAACTGAACCCAGTTACCCCAGTAACTGTGGGAGAAAGCCCCTGGAGTGACTCCTGGGATGAAGGACCCTTTGGAAGAGGGTCTCCCCCGTGATGTGGGGGCACGAGCCGAGCAGCAGAGCTCAGGAGGTGCAAGGCAGCTCAGAGCAGTAAAATACCATGGAGGTGACCCCACTGCTCCCCCCAGAGCAGTGTGTTCTGACTGGGGGACTAAACCAAACAGGCTGAAACTCTGATCTGCCCCCCTCCCCGGAGCTGTGCTGGGATGCCTAACGAGGACATTCCCCTGTTCCCCTCCCCTCCTCTCTCGTAGCGCATGTCGGCGCAGGAGGCCATGCCGGTGATGAACGGAGTCTCAGGCCCAGACAGCGACGGGTACAACCACTGGTCTGAGATGAAGCCAGCACAGCCCAAATCTTTATCTCCTCCCCAGCCTCAGAAGCAGCTGAGTGACTCTTACTCCAACACACTCCCAGTTCGCAAAAACGTGCCACCGAAAAACAGCTACGCCTCAGGTGAGGCCCCGTCCTCCCCTCGGGGGCTGCTGGGGGGGCCTGGGTCTGCCTGTGCCAGCTGATGCTCAAGGAGAGGTTGGCAGGGCCCACCTGCAGCCACGATGGGGACGGTTATGGGGATGCTGGTGGTGATGGGGCAGTGGCCGACAGCACCCCCTTGGTGTCAGGGGCTGCCTGTCCCTCTTGACCTGGGGCTTAGGAAGCTGGGGCTTAGGAAGCTGGGCTCTGCCGTGGGGATTCACAGGGTTTCCAGGAGGAAAATCTTGTGGAATCTGGCGCAGGGAGGCTTCTCCCTTTGCTGCAGCTGGTGGGCGATGCTGAGAGTCTGAACCTGTTTGTTCAGGGGGAAGGTGTGAGTCACACTGAAGGCTTTGTTGGCACCTGGGACAAACTAAGGAAGGGTAGGGGCCTGTCCTGTGCCTGGGTATGGCCAGGGGGTCAAGGACTTGGGGCACTCACTGGTCTCTGTCCCCTGCAGCTGAAAACAAGACACTGCCACGCTCCAGCTCCATGGCTGCCGGGCTCGAGAGGAACGGCAGGACGAGGGTTCAGGCCATTTTCTCTCACGCTGCCGGGGACAACAGCACCCTCCTGAGCTTCAAGGAGGGTGACCTCATCACACTGCTGGTCCCAGAGGCCCGGGACGGCTGGCACTACGGAGAGAGCGAGAAAACCAAAATGTGAGTGTGGGGGCTGTCCTCAAAAACCACCTTGTCTGGATGCTCCATGGATAAACCTTTGGATTCACCCCTGCCTTTGCCTTTCAGGAGGGGCTGGTTTCCTTTCTCCTACACACGGGTCCTCGACAACGATGGCAGCGAGCGGGTCCACACCAGGTAGGAGCATTGTGCGGGGTGCCAGGGGGTCCCTGTGCTGCTTCCAGGATGGCCTTGTGGACTTGAGATGAGGGTTAGGAATTATTGAGGAATTCTCATTAGAAATAACTCCCAGCACAGGCAGGTGGTCTCTGACCCGGGTTGACTTTTGCTGTGTGACTCTGCCATGGGTGGGCGAGTGGCCGTGGGGGGTCTCTGCACGGTGTGGGCTGATGCTGATGCCTCTGCTCTGGATCCCCCTCAGCCTGCAGCAAGGGAAGAGCAGCAGCACCGGCAACCTCCTGGACAAGGACGACATCGCCATCCCGCCCCCCGACTATGGCATGGCCTCCCAGGCCTTCCCGGCGCAGGGCAGCAGCACCTTCAAGCAGCGGCCGTACAGCGTGGCCGTGCCCGCCTTCTCCCAGGTGAGCCTGTGCTGCCAGGGCTGCTCCCACGCTGGGGGATGTCTTAGGAATGGGGGATGCATTCCTAAGCAAATCCCTGGGCATAGTCCCTGGCCGTGGTGGCTGGGGGTCTGCGGCTTCCCCGTTCCTCCTGGGCGGGATGTGCGGGAGCGTGTTCCCGGTCCCGGCGTGGTTGGATGCGTGGGGGTGCCGGAGGGCGGCTCTCCAACCTCTGTTCGTTGTTTTAGGACTACCTAATGCCCTATGGGTGTGCAATTAAAGACTATTCCAGTGGCCTCTGCCAAGCACCCTCCGCTCACTACAAGCCTTACACTAGGTCGACAGCTGTAAGTCCAACGCACGCAATGTTTCCCTTGGGATTTACGGCAGTTTGGCTGGTTTTTGCCTGGTGACCCATGTGCTTTGCCTGGGGCCCTGCTCCTGCCTCCCCCCTCTCCTGGGGAGGAGGGACGAGTGCTGCAGGGAGGCAGCAGGAGAGGAGAGCTGTGGATGGGGGGGAACGGGCAAGGCACGGGGAGCAGTGGCACAAAACAGCCCCGTAAACCCCCAAAGGACAACACTTGCTGACTCCATGGGAGTCTCCCACCAGAAACAGGCTGCTCACAGGCAGCTGGAAGCGTTTTCTCTGGCACCTGCCAATTCAAGCCGGTGACAGTCCCACGGTGGGGCTGGGGCAGACCCCAGCCAGGACTCTGGAAGGTGTTCAAAGAGAGCTCAGGGCTTCTCAGATAACGAGCTGGGGAGGATGCACGTGTAGACAGGATCAGCCTAACCCAGGAGCCACTGGTGTAGTGGAGCTGTCCCACCAAATGAACGTATGGGATGAGCCACATTGGCATCACGTGCCAGCAGGTGAGGAGAGCATGAGGAGGGGGAGAGGTGGCCACTCAGCACCCAACCCTTCAGCAGGGTGCTCCAACTGGGATCTGCTCCTCTCTGCAGGGAGTGAGGTGGAAGCACAGCCCCACTTCTTGCTGTTTGCTGGGTTTTCCCAGCAAGATTTGCTGCTGGAAGTGGGTTTTGTTGCTGGGAGTATTCCTGGGACAGTGGGAAGGTGGGTCTCTGATCCCTGGTGTGTGGCCAGTTCAGAAGTCAGTGACTCCTCCTCCTTCCTGCAGTGGTCCTGTGTTTGTAATGGGGAGCAGAGCTGCTCCATGATCATATCCCACGGCAGGCCCTCACTCAGGAGGGATGGATGTCCTTAAGGGATGTTCTCCAAGCTCAATCCCCATCTGCCCCTCAGTCCTTCCCCACTGCAAAGCCCATCCAGCACCGGCTGAAGGAGAAAATGCTCCAAAACCCTGTGGGTTTCTGGTGGGAGTTAATACAGACAAACCCTCTTTCCACAGAACATTTCACTGGTCTCTCAAACTTGTTCAGTCCCCTTCCAAGTGTTTGGCATCTCAGAAGCAGATGGAGCTCAGTTTCGTGGAAGGGCTGGGCAGGGCAGAGCAGGGCTCTCCCAGCTGTCTTTTTCCTGTGTCTGGTCAGATAAATTCTTCAGAGAGTGGTGCAACTTCACTCCCTGCTGTCTGAATTCCACTCCAGCCATCTCCATCTCTCCCTTTCCTCTCCAAATGCATCGGCTCTCGACCCTGCCATCCCTGGGTCCTGATGCACTTTGGTCTGTTCGTGACCCTCTGGTGGCACCTGAACAGGCACAGCCCACATCCCCCCTCACTGTGCTTCCTCCCTCCTCTCTGCAGGGTCTCGATGACTATGGGACGAGGTCCGTCAGCAGGTAAGATGTCACCTTCCTGTCACATTCCCTGTAAACTGTTGGTGTTGGCTGCGGGTGAAGCTGTGGTGCCGTGTCCCCATGGGGGTCCCTGCACAGGCTCCCCGGGGCACTGGCAGTGGCTGGGATGGGGCCAGCGGTGGGGGACACAGTGCAGGTGTCATCTGTGAGCACAGAGGGACCCGGGGAGGGCAGGTCCCAGGGCCAGCCCTGGTGTCCCCAGCCTTGTGCTCCTCCAGAGAGTCCCGTCTCCCTGACCTGCTCCGGGCTCGCCCCTGGATAGCGAGGCCATGGAGAGCACACGCTCTCAGGGTCTTTCCCTGGCACCTTCCCCGTCCCCTCTGCCTCGGTGCTGCCCCGTCTTGCTCTCGGGGTTAGGCCCACAGCCGTGGCTGGGGAGGAGCTCTCCGTGGCGGGTCCCGTGTGGGAGCTGGGCTCCCGGCGCGGTGCAGCCTCGCGGCACTCCGGCCACTCTGGCATCTCTGTGCTTTGTTCCGCAGCGGCAGTGGCAGTTTGGTATCAACGGTGTGAGGACACCCGGGCTCGCGGCGGCCCCTTGCTGCTTGGAAGAGCTTTCTGCTTCTTTTCCCCCCCCTTTTTTTTTTCCTTCCCTTTCGTTTCTCTTTCTCTACTTCTTTTGGATTCGAAACTCTTGTGATCTTCAAGGAAACCATGGTGCTTCTCACCCCTCCCCGGTGTTCACAGTGCCCTTGTTTCTGAAGCCTTTTCGGAGCAGAAACTGCCTGTGCTCGCAGCCCGAGTGCAGCTGACACTTAGTGGGACCCGTGTTTGTCCTCCCGTGTGATGTTAGCGATGCACTGTCCCCCCGGGGCCGCGCCGGCCGCCCCGCACGAGCCTGGACCAAACTCCCAGACTGGAACACATATGCATGGCCTCTGGTGTCCGTACTGTTACTGAGCATCCGGGATGCCCGCGCCCGGGATGCCGTTCCCGGAGGGGGGGCAGCGTCCCCGCGCCTCCCCCTCAGCCTGATCCGCTTCCATCCCACCACGGTGGCTTTGGGAGAAGCGGATGGCACAGACCCCCCGCCCCGGGGAAAGGGCTGCTTCTGGGCTGGGGTCCCGCCGGCCGTGGGAAACCCCCCCCCAGAAGGGTTACTCCTGGTTGTTTTATAAATATATATATATTTTTTGTAGCAAGGTATTGTTACCTCACGTTAGGGCTGGGGGTCCGGGGACACACTCGCATCCCTAAACTGGGCTTGGGCGAGGCAGACCCCACGCTGTGCCCCATGGTGGGCTCGGCAGTGCCCAGGGGGGCTCCCACCTGGCACTGGGGTCCCACTCCTGCACTCGCCCGTAGCCCTCCCAGTGCCCGTGGCCATCTCCACTGCAAAGCTGTTCACGCTTTTTTCTGATGTGATTTTTAAGACCTCTGACATTGCCTGTTTACTGGGACATTGCTGGCAATAGACTCCCCCCAGACCAGTTTTTGGGTTATCTCCTCGCCTACAGGCACGTTGTTCCGAGCCCTTCCTGCATCGATGTCCGAATTTTGCTAAAGATTTTTAACCCAGGATATTTCATGCTGAATGGCAGAGAGTAGGGGAGGGGGAAAAAACCCACAAACCCAGCCTAGCAAAGCCTATGTGGAGATTGTAAAGTGGTGAAAAACCTTTTTTTAAAAGCCAGAGAGAATTGTGCCCTGTACTGAGTTATTGTTCGAATAAAAGTTTTATTTATTGCATTGAGCTGGGCCTCGGTGTCTTTTTCGGCTGCCGTGCCTGTGTGCTGCCCTCACCGCCTGCATCGCCCGCCGCACATTCCCGTGCCATGTTTTTGTTCCCTGCTCCATCCCTCGGCGCGGGGCGGCCGTGGGAGGCTCCGGCTGCTACCCGTGCACGCCCGGCCCCGCTGGCATTAAACAGCTTCGCTGAGCGGGAGCAGCGACAACTGTTTAAGAGCCGGGTCCCCCCTCTGTGAGCACCTGAGGGGGTGATGCTGCTGCTGCTGCTCCCGCATGCCAAGGCTCCGGCTGCGCTTTCCCGGCGCTGGGAAAGCGGGGATGGCTGGCACGGGGGAAGGAAGCCCCCCCTCCCTTCCGCAGCCCCGCCGTGCCCGACCCCTGCGCTCCCCAGGTGGCTCCCGGCTGGCCGTGCCCTTCCTTCCCCTCCTCGCAGGACCAGCGACTCAATAAACACAACTTTTCCTCCTTTTTCTTCTTTTTCCTCCTGTTTCCTCTGCCTGACGTGCTGTGTGCGGGGTGGCCGGCGGGCTCTGGGGCCGCCTGCCCAGAGCCTTAAGTCTCTCCTTAACCACGACCTTCTGTTCCCATCAAGCGTCCCGGTGTCCTCCAACGTGCCTTCTGTTTCCCTTGCAGCCCCGATGTTGAAGTGGCCAGGTTTTGAGGTGCCCCTGCCCGTAGTTAGTAAGTTGACGGTGTCGGGGGGCCGAGCCCTGGGTGCGCTGGGCAGCGGGTGAGGCCGCGGGGCTGCGCGGGGACGGTGCCACCGCTCTGCTTCCCCCTGCCCCCGTCCCCTCCATCGGTCACCGCTTGCCCCCGGCCCGGTGGCGGGAGCTCCGGGTCTCACCGCGCTGCCTCTGCACGGCCGCTCGCTCCGCTGCCGTGGCTGCGCTTCCCGGGATGCTGAGCTGCTCCTGCGCTTCCCCCGCTGCCCCTAACCAGCCTCTTCGGTTGTAGGTCTCTGGTGCCCATCGCCAGCCCCAGCCCACTCTCCAGCGGGGCAGGGAACGTCCGCACTAACCTCGAGTTTTTTGAGCAGCTTTTTTGTTGTAGACTTGTCCCAGGAGGTTCCTTGTCCTGGGAGCCTCCTCATCCTGGCCCCTGGGATGGGATGGAGGAGCTTCCCTGGGAGTCGACACCCACCTTGGCACTGCAGAGCCTGGAGAGCCCTCTTCCCGTTTCTGTTTGATCCATGAGCTGTATTCCCTGGAGTTGCAGGCTCCATCCCAATAGCTCTTCTCTGCTAGCACAGAAATAGTTAAATGAGAGCCCCGGGTGATTCATCAAAGCAACTTTTCCTCTCCCTCCAGTCCTGAGAATCTATTTTGGCATCCTGGGGGGGAAAGTGATCTAAGCATCTGCATTAATTAGGTGGGAAATTAATTACCCTATTTTTAAGCAGAAGCCATTTATCTTCTAAGGAGAGAAAAAGTGCACGTGGAGAGATGAGGGATGGCAAGGAGGGGGCCTGGGGCAGACAGTGAGTGCCTGTCCCAGGGGGCTGGGGGTCCCAGCCTCTTCCTTCTGCTCTGGGGACATTCCAAAGCTTCTGGGGACATCCCAAAGCTGTTCAGTCCAGTTGCACCTTACGTGCATCCACGTCTGGTGCCTCCGTGGTGGGGGACTGGCCAGTGGCCCAGCTGTGGGACCCACGTGTGTGGTGGGCCATGGCCATAGCTTCCCGTGGGGAAAGGAGAGGGATTATGTGGCTCCCTGGGGAGGGCTGGGGGCACTGGGCAGGTGAGACAGAGAGGATGAGTAGGGAGCTGCTTGGTGGCTCCCTGCCCAGTGCAGGTTTGGACCCAATGACCCCAGGCACCCCTGACAGCCAGTGGAACCCTCAGAGCTGCCCACAGCTCCAGGGAGTTAACTCCTGCTGGGAGAGCACAGAGGAGACCTCTCGGGGTGGGGTAAGGATGCTCCCCATGCCAAGGGAGCCCCTGTATCCTGTCCTGGCCAAGTGATGGCGGCCAAGTGACAGGACGGTGTGGGGGACATCCCAGGTAGGTGAAACCCCATGTCAGGCTGGCTGGGCTGGGCTTGGTCTCTTGGCTCTGCCAAGTCCATCCAGGTGTTGTTTATCTCCCACACTCTTGGATAGTAACTTCTCCAGAGGCAGCACAAGGCCTCTGCAGGGAGCTGCCAGCTCTGCCCTTGGCTGGGAGGTCAGGCCATAACCTGGAGCAGGGTAATGCAGAGCCAGGTGATCTCGTGGTGCTCCCATCTGTGGAAACTGTGTGAGTCCAGCCTGGAGGGGACTGGAACAGCTTCTGCAGTCCTGGTCCCCCATGGCATCTCCTGCTTTAGGCTGATGGAGAGTGAGGTAGGAGAACATCCCACATGGAGCTGCCCTCGGCTCATCTCTGACACCTACCAGGGCTTTGGCTGGGAGAGGAGCTGAGGAGTGGGGGCAGCTCAGCTGGGGGCTCCACAGGGCAGAGCCTTTCCAGTTAACCCCTTCCCAAAGCTGCTGTCCTGGGGTCTCGCCAGTGCCCGCTCGCTGTGCCGGTGCCCCGTCCTCACCAGCCCCACTGCCGCCGTCCCCCCGTTAACTCCTCCTTCCTCTTCCTCCGCAGAAACCCCTTTGCCAACGTCCAGCTGAAGCCAACGGTGACGAACGACCGCTCGGCTCCGCTCATCAGCTGATCGGGGAGCGCTGGCGCCCGCGGCACTCGCCACCTCCTCGTCCTCCTCATCCTCACCACTGCATGTCCGGCTTCCCAGGACTTCATTTTTAGGCGGAATTTATTTAATCCTGCTGCTTCGAAAGCCAAAGGCTCAAGCTAGTGCCCTAGTTCTCTCTTCTCTAGACCCAGCTTGTCCCCCTTGGTGGCAGAGGGTCACACCACGGTGGTGTCACCTGTCCTCTGCCCACACCAAGGAGTGTGGTGGCAGCACATCCCGGAGCTGGAGCAGCACGTCCTGGGGCTGGGATGGTTCCCAGGCTGAGCAGCAGTTTGCCATGGGTGGGAAAATGGGCTCAGCTGGAGAAGGGGCTCCAGGGGCTCACAGTGCTCCGGTGGGGTGGCAGTGGCAGAGGGGACACAGTCCCCCTGCTCTCCCCTGCCCAGACAGGAGGGACCCCTAGGAAAGGTGGGATAGCCCGGATACCCTGTGCAAGCCAAGGGAAGGTGGAAACTGTAGGCAGCTCCCAGGCTCCACCAGACCCTGGATGCCCACCCCATCCTCCAGGCTGGCACACCAGCAGCAGGGTGCTGGCACTGCAGCCCCTGCTGGGACAGGGCCAGCTCTGGTCCCAGAGCTCCTGCAGTGCCAGGGCTCGGGATATTGTAGGGAATTACGGTACTGCTGTAAAATATAAGCTAGAAAAAAACACTTGTGGAGGCGAGGGCGGTGTGGAAGCCTTGGGGTGCCTGGGGCAGTTGGGGGAGCCCTGCTCCCCGCAGACAGGAGCTCCCTCCAGACCTCTTGCTTGGCTGTTTGCTCTTCCTCTATTCCTAGGGCTGCATGAGAGAGAGAGATAGATAGAGATAAATATATATAAATATATATATACACACACTTGCTAAGCTTATTGCTGGGAGTGCCCACGAGTGAGGTGGCTCCCGGGCCCTTCTGCAGTTTCAGGGAGCCAACACAGGAGTCTCGTCCTTGCTCCAAAAACAGGGAGAAGGGGGTTTCCAGGCAGGAATTGTGTCTCCCGTGGGTGAGTGGTTGATGCCGAACAGAGTTTTTGCTTTTTCTGTTGTATTTCTCATTTTGCACTTCCCAATCACTAGTGCAGCATGTCCTGGTCACCACAGTCTGGGCAGTGGGCGCTTGGCCGGGCACAGAGTGGTGCCAGCGCGGGGCTCAGTCCCAGTGGGATGTGGTGGTTCATCTCTCCCATGTTCCATACGATGGATTTTCCAGCTCCGCTGCAGGAAAAGAGCTTCTCCTGCGACCGTCCAGGCTCCAGCTGTACACGAGGGTTCCCTGCTCCGTGATGTGCCTCCTCTTCCTCTCCTGTGCCTCCTCTTCTCCCAGGGCTGGAGCAGATGGGTGGGGGACCACACGGGGCAGGGGTGAGGGGAAGGGCTCCACTGGTGCAGGTGCAGTGGGTGGGAGAGGGCTGGTGGTCACAGCCCAGGGTGGGGACAGGCCTGGGGTCCCCTCGGCCACAGCGTTGTCCTCTTCCACCCCTGTGCCAGGGGCTGCCCCCCCGGGACCCCTGAGTAGCCACCCTGGCTCCAACCAGCCCCCGGGGGCTTCGCTGCACCTCCTGGCTCGGTGGCACCTGCAAGACGTAACCTGAAATAATTTTTTATGAGAAAAAGTAATTTATGAGCAATTAAATCCCTCACTACCTTCCCTCCTGCAGCGTTTTCCCTGGCCAGAGGCACGGCCTGGCCCCGGGTCCATCCCGAGCTGGCTCCATCCTGCGTGCCGGGCAATGATCGGGGCAGGAAACGGCTTAAGATATTTTAAAAACTTTATTATTGGCCCGATGAGATTTGACACACATGCTGGGAGCTGTATGGAAATCAGCACTGATAAAAAATACAGCAATTATGACCCGTATTGAGAAAATAGACCATGTAAGAAGAGCCTTTCTATTAAAAAAGTTACCCAAGCCACAGCTCTGTCCTCATCCACCCTCCGGAGCCGGGACCTGCGGCGCCATAGACCAAACCCAGGGTGGGGTGGGGGGCTGGACCAGCACCCCTGGGTGCAAGGGGCTTGGGGGGAGAGCACCTGTGGTGCTGGTGGTGTGCAGGGAAGGGGAGGCAGGGGGGGCAGGAGGGTGGATGCTGCAGGAAGGGAATCCCAGGAGCATCCCACTCCTGCACAGGCAGCACCCATGGGTGCTGCACCCCGGGTCAGTGCAGGGGGTGGCCCCCCAGCTGCAAAGGGTAAGGGAAGAGCTTGGGAGAACTGAGGGGGGGTGGGTTACAGGCCAGGTGGGGACTTAAATAAAACACTTAAATAAAGCATTAATTGCCTAGTGGTGGGGAGGAACCAGCAATAGGGGGTACGGGGTGGCACAGCCACCCTGGGGCTGAAGTTGGGGTCCCCCGGGACCCTCAACAGCCTTCTGAGCACTGAGGGGGCTCCAGCTGAGATACAGCTCCAGGGTGGGCTGAAACATGCTGGATGGGTGGGAGGAGGGTGGGCGAGTATGGGAACGTCTGGCTGGAACCCGAGTGGCATCACAGTGCCAGGCTGGGGATGGGCTCATCCCACAGGGTCCTGGTGCCAGAGCTGTGCCCAGCCCAGGGTGGGATCATCCCATGGCACGGAGCAGAACCCCTGGCACCAGCCCCATCCCACGTGGGTGCACGTGTCTGTGCACAAGGACATCCGTGTGCCCTCACCACCTGCACACGGGGTGCCAGGAGCCAGGACATGGGGCGGGGGGCGCTCACAGGGGACATTTCTCACCTCAGGGTTTGGTCTATAGACCCCAAAAGGAACCAGCCCTGATTTCAAGGTTTCGTTCAGCTCCGCTTACTTCTATTTCCTTCCGGAAGCTGGAATTGCACAATTATCCTAAGCCTCGAATGAATTAGAAAAAAACCAAAAAACGAAGAAACCCAAAAAAAAAAAAAATGTAACAAAGAACTGCGAGCACCCCCTGCCCCCCTCCCCCCGACTCGATACTTCTCTTTGGCAGCAATAACTTAAAATCGCGTCAATGTGGGTTCAGTCAACAGCGAGTTTTGGTTCTGGGGTGGGTTTGGGGCTGGGTTTTTCTAATCCTTTTCTTTAAATACAAAAATAGTCAGGTTGGCAGGTCCTGGGGGTGGATGTTCCCCCCCTAACCAGCCCTCCACGTGTCGTTCCCTGCCACAGTGGGCAACAGTTCCACCAGTCCTCAGGATCCCCCTGTTGGGATTGCTCCCCAAAAGCAAAGGGAGGGGAGCCCCCCCAAGCCCCAAAAGCCATGGTGCCCCCCCTGGAGGGACAGTGGCACTCCTGGCACGGGGAGTGACATCAACGGTGGCAGTAGCCTGCGGCTCCTCACTCGGGAATGTCGTGGGATGCCCTTGAAGCAGCCCTGGGGCAGCCGTGAGGTGGCCGTGGGGTGGCTGTGGGCCAGCCGTGGGGCAGCTGTAGGGTGGCTGTGGGGCAGCCCTGGGGCAGCCAAGCTGCCACAAGGTGCAAGACCAAGCACACGGCACGGGGAGGGGACAGCACAGGACGTGTGGGGACAAACCCCACCTCGGGGAGCACGCGTGGGCAAGAAGCCAAAGGGGGGGAACTTCACTGGGGGGACACTCTGCAAATGTTAGCTAGGTCAGGGCACTACCCTTTAAACGCTATAATTTATATATATATATGTATATATATATATAAAGTGTGTATTCTGCACGCACGCACACAGCCACCCGCACACACACGCACGGCCGTCACCGTCACCCACCGCCTGGCCCCGCGGGGGGCACGGCCCCACTCCCACTCGCAGCAGCAAACGAGTTCCTTCCGAGAAAATCTGCCTAAAAAATCCAGAGCGGGGTCTGGGAGCCCACGGGCGGCCCCCGTGCCCGGTCCCGCCGTCCTGCGCCTGCCCGGTGCCGGGGCGATGCCGGCTGTGTCCCGGCGGGCTCACTCCCGGTCACCGTCCTCGCTGCTGCCTGCAACGAGCCGAGAGGGGTCGTGAGAGGGTCCCGCCCTCCACGGGACACCCGGCCCTTTGCGGGTGGTGACCATCCCCGCGGGCAGAAGGCCAGGGTGTCCCATGGCTCACAGTGCCATTGGCACTGACGGCAGCCCCCGGCAGGGATAGGGGTCCTGGTCACCCACAGAGCAGCGTCACGGGGGGGACTCACCTCCTATGGAGTCCATGTCCGAGTCGGAGACGTGGGTGATGGAGAACCGGGACACTGGGGCAGGCGAGACCGTGAACCGGGAGAACTGGATGGGCAGCACCTGTTTCTG